ATAGGGTTGCTTTTGACCTGTCTGTGTCGTGTTGAAGGTAACTTGTAAGGGTTCGGGGCTATGGTTAACCCGAGAACCCCTCGGGGAACAGGCGAAGACCGACAGAAACCATGTCTACTGATCGGAACCAAGGCCGCAACTGCCCGCTGCCAGCGACGTGCCAAGAGCACACCAGCGATCATCGTCTTCCTCTTCTACCTCCAATCGGCATGCTTGCGGCTGCCGCTCCCATACTGCCTCCTCCCCTCGGGAAAAGTGCAGAGGAGATGCCGCATAGATGGAGGGGCTATCCTTGACCCTGGCAGACTGCATGTGGCACACAAGACCACATGCCGGCGCAGTAGATTCCCGCAGGGGGGGGCCAACGCCGCCACCACCACCTGAAAACAGAGGCACACCCAACTCGCAACTGTCTCGCATGACAGAACTTCGATGCTCCGTGTGCAGCATCGGTCCCGGCAAATCATAAACCGATGTGTTTCGTTGCTGTTGTAGCTGCCCAGACCTCTCACGCGCAGGGGGCGGCCACTCATCCAGGTAGGAGTCATTGACTGCTGGCGACCTCGGAAGCCATGTAGTGACGTCCACACAGAAGGCTTAGCTGTCTGTGCTTTCGGCAGTCACTCTTCGGCTTTTGCTGATCTTAGTATCTTAGTACCACATCGACTTTGAGAGATGTGTGCCTTGACCTCATTGTGGTACCCGTCTGCGTCGTTGCTGAACGACCTGGTGTACGCCGGCTCAGCTCAGCTTTGGTCAACGGCATCATCTTCGATGGAGACGGTTTCTTACATGATCCTAGCATTGGCTTCCTAGGCATTCCCTCTTCACTCCTCTCGGCCTTTTTGAACTTCTCAGTGTCGTCCGAAATTTCTGCGGCTCTCTCATCCTCAGCACTTGAGGCACTGTTCACGTCATCCACGACCTTTGCATTGTTGGTGTCCACGCACTGTATCTCGTCCCATTTGCCATCTCGGGTGGTGCCTTTGTCCTCCTCGTAGTACATGACTTCGTTTATGCCCTCCGCGAGTTCAGTGTCTGCGCTGTCAGGTGCTCCTTCCCAGGCATCTCCTGCGTCCTGTTGGGCTTGCTCTTTATGAAGGCCGCCACTTCCACACTCAGTAACTCCTCCGCCTGTTCTTCGCTGTCGTGACGGTCAAATACTGCATAACCAACACTCACGTAATCCACTTCGGCGTTTATTGCATCGCCTACATGCCCCGTGGCCTCCACATCAATGCACGGCACGTAATGGTGACTTTTAAAAACGACAGTCTTTCTTGGGGGCCTTCGACGCAAAAATTTTGGTCTGTCTGTCTGTCCTTTGTCTTATCTGTTTGTCCACTCTTAACGGCAGCGGGCACTTTAAACGGCACCAGCGGATACCCCAAACGGCCAACCCCATCCGCAGCAATGTTCCTCAAGATTAAGCGTTCATACTTGTTTGATTGTCAATTAAAAAGCCATTATCGCGCATATCTGAGGCACATGACAACACGTATATATTCTGTATGTGCGTCTTTTACTAGAAAAGGCATACATAAGTTATTCTAAGGACTGTAGCGTTTATCACGCAGCGCTGACCATGCAACCCTTGCACGAAAAGGAAAGTGTTTCCAACGCTTTGTTAAGATGACATGGTGGTGGCACCTGCCCGTAGCCTTGCGTTCTACACCTTATCACCTCTGAGATCGGCGCGCATTGCCCATCTGAAAGCCGCGCGTTCCGTTTTACAAGATAACTGCCAGATGGCGTTCATGTCTCACATGCGACGTGACATGGTGCGCTCGTTAGCCTCCGCTGCACACTCGAGGCACTCTAACGCAGCGCCTCCAGAATACCATTAACCGATTTTCTTGCGCAGAACATCAAATAAACGTTTTGGTCAATCTCTTCAGATGCATGAATATCGTCTTTCGACGACATTTGCAGATTAACATGCAGATACGGGGCCAATTTTTCATTTTCTTTTCTTCCTTTTCCTCTTCTCCCCAAGGTCTCCATTCACATCATCAGCAGCACCGTCTCTGGCCACAGCGCCGGCTTGCCTCACGTTGTCCTTTAATGTGGCATCTGCTGCCACGCTTACTGCAGCGACGTTACACATCGCCAACGAAACACATCAGCACCCGAGAGCTCGCTCGTACCATGCTCGTATGGAGGGTCACTCGTGCGTAGTTACGACGCCGAGGCAGGTGGTGAGACACAAGAGGGCCCAAAAGGACTGTCTGGAGGTTGTGGCTCGTAGTGGTGCTCCCGAAAGGTGGCCTCCTCAACTTTCCTAGCAAAGCGGGCAAGCTCCTCGAGAGAAGGGAAGAATGGCCCAACAGGTGTCGCTGGAAGTGGAGGTGGCATTGCCGCACAACGGGCGGGACCTCAACGGTCTCAGAGTAGTGGGGTCCGCCCAACGAAAAAGCTTTTGCGTGGTCCGAATATAATCCCGCAGACCCTCCTCTGCATATTGCGTTCGGGCGTCGAGCTCACGCCGGATACGGTTGTCGTAGGCAACTGGTAGGACCCGCCGAAGCACGTCGGACTCCGAGAAGCTGCTAATGGCCGAGTATACGAAAGGTCGTCAATCAAATCGATAATAAATTTCCTCGCGTCTTGGCCAGAAAAGGTGGGCACGGTCAGCGGCCGCCACTTCCCATAAACTTTAGAAATATGGTCGAGAACGGATTTTTTACAGCCAGATATTCTGCATTTACTTGGATGTATAGAACACACCCTAAGCACTGTCACTCAAGGCAGGAACCAATGTAACTAACAGCAACAAAAATTTTTGTTACCATTACACAAACATCACATTACGAATACTTCTGGTCATCTGTGAGCAGATCATTATCCTGCAGTGTCTATACATAAAAAAGTCAGTGAAAAAGGGAAGCTTACAATTTGATTAACGAATTTCTGTGAACTGTTTGCCCCCGCCAATTTTTTTTTCGGTCACGTTTTTACTCCAACTGTAGCATTTTCGCAACTATCCAAACTTCATGCACTTGTCCAAACAGGAGCATAACCTTACACATTTCCAGCCATATTCGAATGCATCTATGACTAATACAGGTATACAAAAAGCGTAAAGTTCGGCTCCCCACACGGGAGCCTTGTTCACAGTGACTCAGGGTCACTGTGAACAAGGCTTCCATGTGGGGAGCCGAACCGTCTTTTTAATTTTTGTGGTTTTTTTACCTTGGTCGGCGTTTCTGTTACTTTGCACTATGTTTGCCCCGACCAGACGGGATTCCGTCGGACCCTCGACTGTATACAAAAGGCGTGGTCTCACTTATGCTCTTCATGTTTTAATTATCAAATATCATGCACCCAAAATGGTAACATTGTCCAGACATTGTTATGTTGTAACACTACACAAGCCCACTTCCATTACATAACATAACAGCATTCATTTTCATTGTAATAGCAATCATATGGACACTCTCGGCTGGATTTTGCCACCGGCATAGGCGTCACTCATCATATGTGTATCTACATAAAAATGTATACTATCTATATAAAAACGCAAGAAATAAATATAATCTAGAAAAAAACTCCGGTGCACGGAATCGAACGTGGGACCTCTCAAGTGTGAATGCGAGGCCCTAACCACTGGGCTACGAAGAAGCACCTCCTGCAACATTTAAACGGCAAGCTATTTATATACCGCTTACCGCTGAAGAAGGGCATCTCGGGGGGAACTATCGTGTTTTTCCGAATTACCAGCAAGATGGCCCAATGAGCGCACGTCGCCACATTGTCACACGCTCTCATCTCCCGCGCGCACTTTGCCTCGCGGAGAGGAGTTGGGTGGACGCTCACTCGTGTGCCCTTATCTCGCAGTGGGGAGGATCGTACCTCTTGGCTCGCCTTGAGCTTTCACCAGAACGATTCCGTCGTAGTTACAGGGCGCACAAAGGTCACCGTGATCATTGCACAGTCTACTTTTGCAAAAAGGGCACGCTTTTCAGGCAAAGCAAAGTGATAACCGAGACGCTTGTTCGCATTCATCTGTACTTGTGAGTATATTTTGTGCGTGATTTGTGCGTGAGAAATGCAGGGCACATTTCAATCTGCTTGCCATTCCGCGCATAACCTTCTAATTTGTTGCTACGTTCATTGCTTTGCCTTTGCGGCAAAACTGTGACTTCTTTTGTTTAGTGTCAATCACGACAAAAAAAATGAAAAAAGGAGATAATTGCATGCACGAACATTCACTAAATTCCCCAAACAAAAGTGACATGTCATTCAGTATGTTTGTGCAATGTTTCTTCCAAGAGTTGCATTGTTCTCCTCAAATGGCTAGTAAACAGGCTCAGATCTCTTTTTACACCTCGCAAGCAAGCTCGCCAACTCCGTACCATAGATCAGCAGCTATCACATTTTCCTAATACTAAGCGCTGTGCACCATACAGACTCTACATTTCGAAAAACGATGCCGCACCTGTTTCCTTCACCTGACCGATCCTTCACGTACGCTCACAGAGACAAAAGCTTGTCCATGGGCAACTTTACGTAACTACTGAGCTCATCGATTGGTTCTTTGCCCTATGAAACGGCACCTTGGTCCTGCGATGATGCAGTTTTGGCGGTGCAGTCCGCATTCGTTTTCCTGTGCTGTCCCTCAGCCACTTTGTAGAGCTTGAGACTACTACCGAGAGAAACGGTATTTCCAGAACGAAAGCCTGGAATATAAGAGATAAAGAGGTGTCTCCCTACTTTAGAGCTAGCAAAGGGGTGCTCCTCGAAATGCGCTTTCTCTGCGGCACTGCTATGACACGTGCTCATGTCGGGGATGCCCTGCTCGATCGTTGCCTATGTACTGATGACGTATCGCTTGACGTCATGTCACATTGCTGAAGTGGGCAGAGTCACGACGACGGGCTACGCCTTTCCCCTCCCTATGGCAGAGAAGGGTGACGAGGTAACGCGAAAATTTGAAACCCGCTGAAACGGAAGTTTTAACTCCTGTAACTTCCTTATTATAGCAGACATTCGCAAAATTCTTACGGCAGCATGTTTACATAGCAAAAGCGTGCATATTTTGCTCCATAACAATTTTTGGACCTCAGGATTGTTTACTGGCACTTTAAGGGCCCCCTCACCAGGTTTGAGCATTGAAAATAAACAGGTGTGGCTCATGTGATTTTATCTGTGAAGTACGAAGAGATTCTTGAGAAAGCAGCGCTTTGAGCAAGAGTTGAAGTCACACACACACACAATGCTTGGAATTCGACTGACCATAGCACAGGACCTCGGTTTATCGTTCAATGCAAAGCATGTTATGTTGCCATTGAGAACGCAGCCCAAAGCAAAGCAGAAACAAAAGATGAGAAAGAGGCACTGTTCGTCACATGAACATGCAGCATCAGTGGAACAGATGCGATTGCCCACGAAAAGAAGACGTGGTCAGGCAATACCACAAGCACATCAAGAACTTGTGACTGCTTCTGCTTTGGCACTAAAGAAATGAAGAAGAAAACAGCTCCAATGTTGCAACAGTGCCTCGTCTCACATGTGCTCCACAAACACGACAAGCTCCCTTGACTGGAATGCCACATACATGTGATAGCCCAGACAAAGAGGGAAAGCTCTGTTGAGCACAGAAGCAGAACAATTAAATTACTTCCAACTCTTTCGGTACCGAACAGACTTGGAAAACAATTTCGGTAAAACGCGTCCTAGACAACATTTTACAATTTACAAGGTGCCTAACTAAAATTAGGAATAGATCCAAGTGAGAGCTCCCGTAAGGGCATGATGGGAGACCAGTAGGCTTGATGCGATTATGGTTTGTGCAATTGAACATACACGCCACATAATTTTCATAATAATATAGGTCCTTCATATCAGCCCCATGAAAAGAATACTAAACAGTTTCTGCTGTACACAATACACATGTAGCATCCGAGGTGACCAAGGGCGCTATTTAAACACTGTAAAATACTCGGAATATTGACAGATCCTGTAACAAAGGAAGGCGCTGTAGCCCTGTGATTCAATCGGGGCTAATAAGGTTGCAAATTCGTTGATGTGGCAAAATTGGTTAATGTGACCGTTCAAAATAAGAACACGCAAGGTTGATCGAGGACATGCTTCTGTGGAGATGAAGAAAAGGCTGCAAGGGCAGAGTTTTTGCGAAGTGCGACAATTTAGGGCTAGGTAAAGCACATACTTTTTTTTCTCACTGCCTTCAGTATGTGTTGCATCAGTGTGATATTGGCTCATATGCTTACACCAGAGCCATAATCACCTTTAGTGGCCGGATTCACAGTGACATAAAGCGGTCATCGCAAAAAATTGTGCATACCAGTTATTACTAAAATCATACAGCTGCATTTAATTCCGTGAGCACTGTACATGTGTAGGTGCACCGTGTACTCCCCAACTGATTGGCAATGCTTTCCATAGTTCAGTTTCTGAAAGCACATACTGAATCAGCATGGCACACTACTCGCAGTGGTCTTCAAATTCACAAAACGCAAGAGAGCAAAGAGGGAATGTGGGAATGTTAAAATTAAGTTTTACAGCAAGTGTAAAAATGACTCTTAGAAATAAGCCAACATCCTGAAATTTCAAACACTGATTGGTTTTTCATGTTCATTACGTATTCAATTTAATAAGCTACTGAAGAAGGGCTGCCATTACTAGACTATGTAAGGCAGACAGATCACTGTATCAATGTCCGTCGAAGTGAGCATCTCAATAAGGTGCGCAAAGGATTGGATGGGCATCTCGCAGATCACTATCAAGAATGTGAGTGAACCTTTTTTTCAATAGCAGACTCGGACATTGACTATAGACTGATTAACCAGGCAGCTGAGGTGAAGAGGGGTGATTTAATTGTAGTTAGTGCTCCTTCAATTGCCTTGACAAGCAAGGAACTGCACTGTCTGGAGTGGTGTATAAGACAGTCACATAATGCGTTCCTTGGAACTTCTGCAGATGCTATCGGCGTGTTGTCTGACCAAGTCTTCACCTAGACCCGTGCCAGCGTGAATGAACTCTGCATAGTGATAGCATGTTCCTTTTCCATTGTTTTTTTTTATTCTTGTCTTGTTTTAATGCTTTTTTTTTTTCTAAAGGCTACACCTATATATTTAGTGTTCCCTTCCAATAAAATTTCAGTTGAAAGTAGCGCCTGTCCTGTGCCCTTTGCTCATCTTACGTACGTGCCTTTAGCGCTTGCATAAGTTATGAGGCTCTAGAACCTAAAAAAATGCATGGGCAGATGTAAACTGTTAAATAAATTTCTAACATTAAATAAGAGTGTCAATTTTAGGCACCATTAGGAATCTGATCCCAGTTTGGACAATTCAATCAGATGTATAAGGCAGTCTTGCCCCGCACATTAAATACAGTATGTGGTGCTGTGGCAAAATACATTCCTCAAAAAGTAGATGTTCAAATGGTGCTGTGCCATAGGTATAGCGCTCTATACATAACATACAGCAGATGCTCATCATTTACAAGCAGCTCAGTTGATTGCACATCCAACTATCAATGGCACTACATGTATGTGGCAAATACTATTTTGAATAAGCCTTATTTTCTTGACCAATCGATTGCACAGAAATATATCCACCTCAACTTACTCCAAAATGAAGAAGAAACTTGGACTCAATATTCAAAGGTCATTGACTAATGTCTATACTCTATGCAGACAGTTCATTATCTGAACACTCCTAATGACTTTTTTTTGGTTCCACAGCTTGAATAAACACAACTAAGAATGAGCCCATACTGAAAAGCACTGTCATGCATGCCTTTAGCCACTGCAGCTTTTCCTTCAATGCCACAGTGTAGCAAGAGTGCATTGCCACTGAAGGAGTTGTGGACATACGTTCACATAGCATCTCGAATAACAAAAGTGGGCAAAGCAAAGGTTTGGCTGAAGTTCTGACAGGCAGATTATTTTTGCGAAGTGCTGGCAAAGAAGCATAGTGAACTGGTGGGGTAAAATAAAAGCAAAAGCTTAATGCCAACCCTTCATGCCCATTCCCCCCCCCCCTTTTGTTTTGTTCACAACGAGCACCCAAGACAAAACAGAACTAGTGACATCAATGCAATGACAAAGATATTGCCACAATTCATAAAAGTTATCAGCACGATATTGTACCCAATTTACAATGCAATTTAATGCTTTACTGACAGACAACTGACTAGTGCCAACCAGATACTGCCAATATGCTTAACATAGCAGATGTAGGATGTAGGTTAAGGTGGCTGCAATGTCATACTTCTGAGCCCTCTACTCTACAAGGTCTCAATACTGAATGATATTTGATTGTTTGCAGTTCCACATGTGTTGTTTACTATAAGTATACCCTAACTTATGGCAAACCACATCTGGAGCAGCTCAAAAGGTAGAGAAAAGGTAATGGAAAGAAAAATGGTCAACAACCCACCTCAGCATTAATTTGCAAGGAAAACCTGTATAAATTTCTAAAAAAAAAAAAAAAGCCTCAGAGTGACTGAAAAAAACCTCCATGGAGCATGATGAACTCAGCTGGGCAGAAGGCTAGTTGACCAAGTGCAAATGCGAAAAATCCCATTCATTCTTGATTTGTGCAACTAGTAGTTTGATAGTCGCATCTGCTTACATAGCTTCGATTAATAACTTCATTTAGTATGTCTTTATCGCCTCACAACTGTTCTTGAAGTAGCCATTATTGGCTCTATCACCTGCCCTAGCAAAGCGAAAAACTCCAGCTACAGAAACACCTTGTTTCAATTTGGAAGTTTTGAAAGCACTGATAACACAGTGGGCTGGCCAAAATTTAGGAACTTGTAAAGATACCCCAATTTCGAGTTTGAATAGTTCTGGGTCTGCTTCATGCCCCCGTCTTGACCAGAAGTATTTTTATTAGAGGTGTGTGAATATTCGAGTTTCAAATTTGAATCCAATAATATCTAATCGAATAAATTGACAAAATGAATATCTAAAACACAACAAAGGTCACTGCTGCAAATTGGTGAAGACAATGTGGCTAAAACAAATGTCAACTTCGTTACAGTAGGCCTTTCGTTACACACTTTCATTAACATCCCAGTTCAAAAGCGAGAACTTAATTACTTTAGATTACGTCATTTCTGCCTGCCATGGTTCCAGCAAAGAAGGCCAGGGTACAGTCTCGGAGACTATATTGGAGAGGTAACATAAAAAATACCCAGCTCAGACCTTATAATCAAGAGGTTCACAAAATACTTCAATGAGCTTCTGATACCAAGAAAGGATGACCCTTTGAAATACAGGAGAGAGAGTGGAAGCAGCACGTTATCTAGATATTGCCGAAATTGCTTTGCGATACCTCACAATTTCTGCTACTGAGGTGCCAAGTGAGCAGATGTTTTCAACCGCAGAAAAGATAGCAAAATCACCGAGAGAGAGCTTGGAGCAAGATCATGTAGAAAAGCTTGCGTTTTGTGTAAGAGAATTTGCAGCCTTTCAGTAGCCATGTTATGTGCCCAGGGACATGAGCAGATTCAATTTCTTTGTTCTTTCTTTCAATTTTCCATAAAATCTTTAGCATCTGGCATTCAATTCAATATTTTAGGCCACTATTTATGTAAGTCAAGTTTCACTGTTCCCACACCCCTCATTTTTATGCTAAAATATTCGCACACGATTTCAAACAACTTATTGCTCCTGCACAAGTAAAAAACATCCCTCACACAGGGCAATGAACATATTCTATTATATAAAATAACACTTTTCCATCTCGTTGCCACATATAAACTGGCAAATAACCATCACAAAGCAACGCTGACAGGTTTCATTATATTCATCAAGTGTAAGTAGGAATAAGCTACTAGATTGTAATACACGCACATACAGATACACACACAAAAAGAAACTTATAACCCAAATCTAACACACCAACTAACACTACGTTAAAACAGCCCCTTAAGCAAAGAGAATACCAAGATTTTTTTTGTTTTAATAAATACAAAAAACACGAGCATGCGCGCCATAGTATACCAGCAGCAAAAGGCACGCCTGGGTCTATGTACACATGCTGGAAACCCTTTACATATTTACAGAAGTCACATATGTACTGGTTACTATAAAAGCACCACACCGGGATAAGAGAAAATTGCAAACCTGAGAACAATTTACAAAGCAGCTTGGCACATCCTTAATTCCTGGTTATGCAGTGACAAAAAAAAAAAATGCTATGTCACACGTGTAACTTGCTGTTCATCCCCCTCACTCTCTTCCATTAGTGTCGAAATGCATGCAGTTAACTTGCACAACAACAACACGAGATACTGTATTTGCATTAATGCGATGCAGACACAGATATAAGAGGTCTATCACTTTTGAAAGACAGGGAAAGTGTGAAAACATCACAATCACACATCAACTCGTGTTTTTAAACTACCTAACAACATTTAAAAAATGTTTTCTACATAGCAAGGTTTTGTTCCCCAAACCTCACAAGACTGCATATTTCAAGCTTTGATATCCTATAATGAGTGGCATTTTCGCCCAGAAAAATAGTTTTAAAAAAGAAAATGATGGAAGCTATAGTGTTTTGTCAAATGATGCCAACTAACTAATGCAATCGCAATTTAATATTTGGGCGACAAACAGAACAAGACCTTCTGCAATGTTAGCACCAGAACTCAAGTCAATGTAATTCTAACAAGTGACATGCAATTCAAAGAGTATTAGCATTGACGACTAAAAACTTTTCTAAAGGTTGGCATATTCGAACTAGCAAATCTTTACATTCCTACATTAGCACGACAGATTTCCTGTAAACCTTATTTGCTTAGTGACCAAGGTCACTACATTTGATAGTGTAAATCCTTTGAATTTAAGACAAGCTATTCTCCCAGCCGACAATTTTGGCAAAAAGGAAAGCATTACATTCAGGCAAATACAGTAGCTCGCTTGTTTAACCGATGCGTAACGCACGAGTGCTACTCCACCTAAGCAGTACCACATTCAGAAGTACTGAATTCAGTTACTTCTTGTGGAACCAGGATTTGACATTTCGCCCACAGTCATATTTAAACATCCCCACCCCAAAAGATCCTAGATAAACATTCAAACAGGCTGCCACATGTACAGCAATTTGCATAACTCACGTGTCCATGGGACAAACGCCAAGAGACGTCTGCACCTCTTATCAACAAAGCAATGTTCACCTTAGCACTGTAGAGCCACTGCCAGAGAGTGCAATCACCGAGCGAAAATTACAACAATTGCTTTGGCTTTTTTTCAGCAAAGCTGAGCTCATCACAGTCTGATCCAGCATTTCTACTGCTGGGTAGCCAGGCTAAACTTGCTAAGCTCGTCACAGCTGTACAACATTCGATTGCAAGCCAACGAACTTGCGAACTATGTACTTGATTTGAAGCCATTTGGCATCACATATTGATAGATGCTTTTCCCTAAAACACCCAAGCAGGACACAGCAAGGTTTGACCGCAATGTTGGAGAGAACGGCACTGGCAGTTTGCAGACGCCAAGGTTTACGTCTTGCAGATCACTATTTTTGGTTGGCATTGCTTCTTTCAGGCCTCCGATTCCTCCTTAGGTGGCATTACCACCACATGTGGTATCCTCAATATACATTCTGCTTCCTCGAAAAATTGCTGAAAAAGAGCATCAAAGCAACCACACACTTAAACAACATGAAAATAAATTTACAAGCATGCAGGTAACTATGACTGGGCTATCAACACCAGACTTAAGTGTGAACAAGTCAAGTAACACGTTTCTTTGTTTCTAATTTTACCTACAAAAGTAAGTTATGTTTAAACTACATACAGTACACATCTCTTGAACTGCTTGTTCAGAACAAGCTGTGCCAGTATATTACACCCTCAAATCATTATAGTACATAATGTTGTTAATGGTTGCATTCTTGACTGGCTTTTCCATACACACATCCTTGTTCAGGCACTCACAGTACCATCACCATTCTGCCTTCTCGAGCTGTTACAAAACTTGCAAACATACGAAGTACCCACCTTTTCAAGACTAAGGTCAAAGAACAGTTCCTGAAGCAAGGTACGGGCTCCTAGCCTATAGCGATACCGTGACATCAGCAGACAGACCTCAGAGTAAAGGCACACATCCTGAAAGGCGCTTGGGTACTTCTGCTTAAGGCTGAAATCAAGCAATTAGAACATATCCATGCATGTCCGACACAAGAAACATGTGAAACCACAACACAACCACGGCTGCTCGATAAAAAACAAGGTGCGGTCTTTTGCGTGCTGCCGAAGCGGCAGAACAAACCTAGTTCACCTCGCGCCTGCTCTGGCGCCATCACTCCTCTCAGGAGAAACGCTTTCATACACATCACTATGTGGGACAGAAGGCCGTAAATAACACGTTTCGTAGTTGAACATCACAGGTTCGATTCTGAATCGATATTAGGAATACTTATTACACCACATATGTGAACAGTTCGCCCTAGGAGGGCCAATCATTCAAAGAGTACAGGCCTCAATACTCTCCTTGAATGCTGCCCGTTAGACTCACCTGAAATGAAAAGGGTCGCTCATTCCATTCATAGGGAGGCAATCGCCAGGAAGATTCCAAGGGCTGACGTATCGGCTCACCGAAACGCACCGCGAAAGCACGCACAATTTAAATGTAGCTTCTTTTAGTGCACGACAACACCAGTTTTGGTCCGACGACCGAGTTGAAAACCAAAAGTTTACGACACAAACAGAATACATATTCTCAGTAAAGACATCACACAAACTTGCACACTCGGCAGGTACCAATTACAGCTCATAAAATCACTTGGAAGGTATTTAAAACAATGGGAACAAGCTTGCCGCGCTACAAATGCAATCTCACGCATTAAAAACTTCGCAAGAACACTTAGCAGCCCCAAGTATTCCCAACACACGTGTACTCCACAATTCTTTGAACATGTCTCGAATATTTCTCTTCAAGCAAACACTGAAACGAACTTCAGCACTCCTCGTCGTCCTGGCGACACTCTTCAACAAAGTACTCCAGCGGCATGATAACTCAATTCTTCAACATTGACTGACTGTACTACACGACTCACTCAAACTGCTTGTACATCACTTCTTGACCGCGTTTACCACTCGTCCTACCCTCCGACATCTCTAGTTTGGATCCTTCCCGGTTTCGCGAACATTCGTAGTAATTGTACTGCACGTAGCACGTACCAGTGCGGCAGCCAGGGGAAAGAGTTTCGTTTAGCCGGTCTGTCTGCGAATACGGTCACCCCCCAAAAGAGGCCCCGCTTCGATGTCTCAATTTCTCCTCATCTGTGCTGGTAGGCTGTCGCCTGTGTAGGGGGTAAGCACACGCCCTGGGTGCTTTTTATGGTTGTTTGCTTGTTTTCGTGCGCGCGCCCGTAAAGGGAGTATTTGGCAAGGTTATTTGAAGCTGTCGTCTGGAGGAAGCGGCACACGTCTGCCTGAGCGCGCGTTTGTGACAAAAACAAGTGATTTGTTACGAATAATAAGCATCCCGATACACTTTTTGGCATTGTAGACCGCAGAAGAATACATTGTGCTTCAATGTAGCGTCTTTTTTCTCATTCGAGCTGCTTAGCGCCACACAAAATGCTGCACGGCATCACACCACTAGAAAACCGCCTGGCACAAGCGCTGGTACCAAAGAATCATACTCGAGCACAGAAAACACGCGTCGCATTCCTGCCCCCCCCCCCCCCCACTCCCCACACGTTCCGACACAAAAAAAATTACGAGAAAGCACTCGTAAAAGCACACCGACATGCAAAAATCTTCCTGCAACCACATTGAAACGCGAAGTGTCATCCGCTTTTATGGGTGGAGTGTCAGAACCCTCACCAAAAAAGCAGCCGAAACTGTCAACTCTGCCCAGACGCGCTCGCCCATTGACGGCGATGCTACGCAAAAGGCCGCACCTTGTTCTTTATTCAGCGGCCGTGACACAACACAAAGTGAGACCTCGTGGTTTGCATATGCACACTTTCTTTCACTTTTAACATTCTCAGCTTCGAGTTACTTGTGTAGCTTACTGCAACTTCAAGCATGATTAGTCACAGATGCTATGGTATTCGCTAGCATTTGCAAAAAGGCAAAATATATAATAAGCTTCAAGAATGAAATATTGGGGATTTACATGACAAAATTAGAATCTTGCTACAGCATTACAATCAAAATTAGAATAACGAGGCACAACAAAGTTGACGACTCTGCAACAATTTTGACCTCCTGGGGTCCTTATGAGCATTTAGGTCAAACCATATATGTCCACTTTTGCATTATGCGTCTACCAAATGCAGACACTGTGGCTAGGAATGGAACATTAGCAACAACACACTCGAGAGAGTAAACTCAGCTGTCACTTAGTCGCATACCACCCCAAGGCCAGAATTGTTATTGCATTTTGGCACTGCTCATGAGATGTCTTCCCATTTTTGATGCTACTCTTGTTGATTTTATTTGATTCCTGTTCACTATCATCATCATCACAACCTGACTACGCCCACTGCAGGGCAAAGGCCTCTCCCATGATCCTCCAATCAACCCGGTCTTGTGCTTTCTGCTGCCACGTTACACCTGTGACCTCATCAACCCACATAACTTTCTGTCTCCCCTTCATATATTTGCTTTCGCTGGGAATCCAGTCAGCTACCTTAAATGACCAGCGGTTATCCTGCCAACGTGCTACGTGCCCAGCCTTTGTCCGTTTCTTTTTCTTGATTTCAACTATGATATCCTTTAACCCCGGTTCGTTTCCTAACCCACTCTGCTCTCTTCTTGCCTTTTAAGGTCACACCTTTTTTTTTTCATTTCCATCACTTGCTGCACTGTCCTCAATTTAAGCTGAACCCTCTTTGTAAGCCTCCAGGTTTCTGCTCTGTATGTATCAGCAAGATGCAGCTGTTATATACCTTCTCCTTGAGGGTTAGTGATAGATTACCATTAATGATCTGAGAATGCTTGCCGAATGTGATCCACCCGATCCTTATTACTATTCTAGTTATTTCACTCACATGGTTCGGCTCCGCGGTCACCACCTGTCCTAAATAGACATATTCCTTTACAACTTCCAGCATCTCTCCAACATCTCTCCACCAATCGCAAAGCGCTGTTTTCTGCCGAGACTCATGCACACTACTTTAGCTTTGTGTATCTTAATTTCAGACCTACTCTTATGCTTTCTGTGTCCAGTTCAGTAATCATGAGATGTAATTCATCCTCTGTGTTACTCATCAAGGCAATGTCATCAGTGAATTGCAGGTTACCAAGATACTCTCCATTAACTTTTATCCCCAGCTCTGCCCAATTTAGGGCCCTGAAAACCTCCCGTAAACACGCAGTGGAGAGATCGTGTCTCCCTGCCTTACGCCCTTCTTTATTGGGATTCTGTCCCTTTTTTTTTTTATGGAGAACCAGGGTGGCTGTGGATTCGCCATAATTTCTTCCAGTATGTTTATGTAGGGTTCATCGATGCCCTGATTCCATAGTGCCTGTATCAGTGCTAATGTCTAGACTGAGTCAAATGCCTATTCTGTTCACTATATGGTAACACAATTGACACTCAATGAGCCACTATAGTGGTTCCCAAAAGTGGACCTCAGGAGATCCATGAAGCCATTTTTAAAAGGTCTGCAAAAAAACAAAAAGTTTTTGGGAGGCTTATGATGGCCCAGGACAGTGGCCCCATTTGATCTTTTACATACTTCATCATATAACAATTTTGAATTGTGGTGGAGCTGACTTGTGGTGCTTTTGCTGCAGCTTTCTACATGAGCAAGCGAAGAATACTTTTTCTATACTTGCAGACCGCTCAAATTATTGAAAAGCTGTTGAGACCGAACTCTTGTGGTGGTTTAGTTTTACTATTCTTTGCCATGGAGAAACAAACGACTCTTACACCCCCCACCCCCTCCTTTTTTTTTCTCTCACTGCTAGGGTTCTTTCATCACTTCCCCTGGTCCAAAAAAGGTCTCCGAAATGGTGCACAGCCCTGACTGCACTGCACTCGGAACCACTGAACCACAAGTTCCTCTGGAAGGCACTAGGTATGGTTAGTCATTCATGATCACCCTGCAAGTCACAGCAGATATAGCGTCAAACATGACAACATTTCACTATGCTGATGAATCAATTAAGTAAGCTCTGGTGGTGACAGAAGTGGCATTGTGATCAGAAGCGATAAATAACAAAGCGGGATTTTACTAGCAATGCTGAATCTTAAGTAAATGTGTGCTGTATACAACTAGCATTCACACAGTTGTGCACATCATCCACAACACATTACACAGTTATGGCACATACCGCAATTACTCGAATCTAACGCGCACCTTTTTTCCGATTAAGCGAGTTCATAAATTGCATGCGCCTTATAATCGAGTATGAAAAAAAAAAAACTGAATACGGTCATTCTATTGCCATCGGCATATCCAAAATGGCTGCCCCCTACATGGCGCGTCGGCCATTTCTGCCTATATGTTTCCCACGTGCGGCACTTCGTACGTGTGCTGAGGAGTTCGTCATCTTGTAGTGCATTATCGTCGACGGTATGGAAGGACCGACTCCAAAAACTCGAGTGCACCACGATGCCGCTTTTTAAAGAAAAGTCATCGCGTGTGTAGAAATGGACGGAAATGGGCCGCGTTGCGGTTGTTCGGAGTTCCCGAAACGTGCGTACGGGACTGGCGGAAACAAAAGCAGAAGGTTGTCGACAGCAAAGCTTTACACAAAGGCATCAGTGGACCACAGCAGGGTCAGGTTTCCGCAAATTGAAGAGCTGCTCGGCGAGTATGTGCGTGAGCAGCGAGCGGCACAGCGGCCCGTGACGACAGAACTGCTCCAAGTGCGGGCTATGCAGTTAGCCTTAGAATAGAAAAAGGGCTAATGCGGAGCCAGTTTAAAGCGAGCAGGTGCTGGCTAACTAACTTTATGAAGAGGAAAAAGCTTTTCCCTCCGAAGGCGAACGGGCATATGCGAAAAGTTTCGAGAGGAGTACGATGAAAAGCTTCACAGTTTTCAGAGGTTCGTTTTAAACTTGCGGCACAACAACGGCTATCTGCTTGGGCAAATCGGGAATGCTGATCAGACGCCTCTTTACTTGGACATGCCTAGCGCCACAACCGTCGAGAAGAAGGCGGCGAAGCAAGTTCGCGTGCTGACAACGGTCCACGGTAAAACTGCAGTGACGGCAATGCTCTGTTACACGTCAGATGGGCACAAGCTTCCCCCGTACCTCATATTTAAATGGAAGACTCTCCCGAAAGGAGCCGTTTTTTCGAGTGGTGTGATCGTGCGGGCCAACGAGAAAAATGGGTGCGCGTTGCAATCGATGTCTTACCTTTTTTTTTTTTTTTTCGACATCGAAACCGGGTGCGCGTTACAATCGAGGGCGCGGTAGAATCGAGTAAATACGGTAGTCATGCACACAACTTGTGCAGGAGCTGTTTCTGCTTTGGTTCAGAAAAACAAAGAACGAGCTTTACACAAGAAAATACAGTCATCTCCTGGCAAACATCTTTTTTTTTAAATCAATAGTTTTCCCACAATAAAGGTTGATCGATATGGTGGGCAATAAACGAACAGCATGATATTGCTACGTAGCTGACATATCAGCAATCAGAAGACGACAATGAAGAAGTGGGATGGTCTGTCCGCTGTTCGTGCTGTCCTCCATCTTAGTCGATGCTATACGCATCAGTCTCAATATAGATTCCAAATAGACATGCCTCGTGTCATAGTTACATAATATATTTATGGTGGAGGTGCTGGGTACTTCCCTGTTTTCATCACGAAGCTCCGCAATGGCCGTATCATGATAGGTCCAGCCATGTCACAAGTTGAACAACCATCTTCTTCGCCACCTGCCCCTTCGGTGACTTCTACCTACATCGTTCTACCTTCTGCTCGTGATCCCAGTGTATTTTCTAGTCAAGATGGCGTTGACGTCGCCAAATGGATCATCCGTTACGAACGAGTCAGCGCAAGCTATAGGTGGGACCAGACACTTGTGCTAGCCAATGTGCTTTTCTACCTCGGTGGCCCACCGCGGGTGTGGTTCGAGACGTTTGAAGCGGAGATTACAAGCAGGGACTCCTTCAAAGAGAAGATCCCCGACCTTTTTGCCAACATCGTTGGACGGCAGAGTGCTGCTCGGAATCAACTGGCGGCTCGTGCACAGGCGTCGACGGAGTCGTACGTTGAGTACATTCACGTTGTCATCGCCCTATGCCGCCAGATTGACGAACTCATGCGTGAGTCTGAGAAGGTGGCCCATGTGCTGAAAGGCATAGCCTACGACGCCTTTAATCTTCTAGCATATAACAATGTTGTCGACGTCGAAGTCATTATTAAAGAGTGCCGCCTGCCGCCGAGCTCGATTTCTCCAAGTGCCACTTTGGTCTTTGTGAAATTACCGTGTTGGGCCACCTTGTTGATGCTGCCGGCATACAACGAGATCCAGTGGAAGCGCGGCCTGTAACGAACTTCCCAGTTCCACACTCTGTCCATGATGTTCGCAGTTTCGTGGGCCTCTGCTCCTACTTTTGCTGGTTCGTGAAAAAGAAGAGGAAATGGACATGGGCCGGGCATGTAGCGCGTAGACAGGATAACCGCTGGTCATTAAGGGTAACTAACTGGATTCCCAGAGAAGGGAAGCGGGTTAGGGGGAGACAGAAGGTTAGTTGGGCAGATTAGATTAAGAAGTTTGCGGGTATAAACTGGCAGCAGCAAGCACAGGACCGGGTTAACTGGCGAAACATGGGAGAGGCCTTTGTCCTGCAGTGGACGTAGTCAGACTGCTGCTGCTGCTGCTGCTGCTGCTGCTGCTGCTGCTGCTGCTGCTGCTGATGATGATGATGAAAAACTTTGCAGCACTCGCACGACCATTCAACGACCTTCTCAAACAACATATCCCATTTTGTTGGGGCCCTCTTCAAGCTGACACCTTCTCTCAGCTAATCACCGCCCTAACGACACCTCCTATTCTTGCCCATTTCGACCCCGAAGCTCCTACAGAAGTGCGCACAAGCGCGAGTGGTCACGGCATTGGTGCAGTTTTGGCGCAAATTCAGCAAAAAAATGGCCGTGTAATTACGTATGCAAATTGACTCCTTCCAAAGTCTGAACGCAATTACTCTAGAACAGAACGAAAATGTCTCGCTTTTGTGTGGGCGGCTTCGAAACTTCCCCTTACTTGTATGGCCGCCATTTCCATGTCATCACAGATCATTGCGCGCTGTGTTGGCTTTCTTCTCTAAAGGACCCCACTGGACAACTTGGCCGTTGGGCGTTACACCTACAGAAATATTCCTACTCGGTTGCTTACAAGCATGGACATCTCCATCTGGATGCCGATTGCTTATTCCGCTACCCTGTTGATCAGCCCGACGAATCAATCATTCAGCCTACCCCAGCGTCATGTCAATGTCTCAGTCTTCAGATTGGTGATGAACAACGTCATGATGCTTTCCTGCGACAACTCATTCACCGTCTCGAATCTGCTTTGAACGATGCTTCGCTTCGCATGTACGCCCTCCTGCATGGCACGCTGTACCGTCGTAGCCTTCAGCCAGATGGCCCTGAGCTCCTTCTTGTCGTGCCGAAACATCTGCGTTCAACTGTACTCCATGAGCTCTACGATGAACCAACTGCTGGCCATCTGGGTGTATCTTGGACGTACGACTGGGTTCGTCGCCAGCTTCTTCTTGCGCGGTTTCACCAGGTCCCTTCGCCATTACATGTCCTCCTGTGGTAGATGCCAACGTAGAAAGCGAGCTACTGCGTCCCCGGCTGGTCTTCTTCAACCGTTCTCCTATCCCGACCGAACCTTTCTTCCATGTTGGTATCGATCTTCTCAGTCCTTTTCTCGAGTCCAAATCGCACCCTCACGGACATGCTCACGATGCATGTGTCCTCCGGCCACCATGACTGGGACCTGGCACTACCTCACGTGACCTTCGCATACAATGCTTTGCACCACGACACCACTGGTTATTCACCCTTTTATTTGCTCTATGACCATGATGCAACGTTACCACTCGACACCCAACTTCTGACCACTACAACACCATCAAACAAATATGCACGCAACTCTATTGCTCGTGCCGACCACGCACATCAGATCGCCCACTCTAGACTTCCGGCTTCCAAGCCACTCAGAAAGCCATCTACGACAGCCGGCATGTCAATGTTCGCTGCACACCCGGTTCTCTCATTCTCTTGTGATGCCCAGTTTGTCGAGTTGGCTTATCAGAAAAATTGTTCTCTCGATACATGGGTCCTTACCATATCGTCCGCCAGGTAACCGACGTCACCTATGAGATCATTCCTACATCTGAGACCACCCTGCCTGCAACCATACCCATTGATGTCATGCACGTGAGCAGGCTAAATCCCTACCTCCTGCCTCCTGAAGACCGTAATTATTGAGCACCGAGACGGTGCTCTTACCGCCAGAGGGTAAAACTACATAGCTGACATATCAGCGATCAAAGGCGACAATGAAGAAGTAGGTAGGTCTGTCCGCTGTTCGGGCTGTCCTCCATCTTAATCGATGCTATACGCATCAGTCTCAATATAGATTCTAAATAGACATGCCCTGTGTCATTTTTGCGTAACAATATAAATACCATTTGAAAATATGCATGTGTTCAACACCTTATTGCTGCTCAATTTTTAAGAAACACCATGTCTCAAGCCCGTAGTAGAGGGGGGTGGAGGGGAGGGTCTAGGGCCTTTTACTCCTCTTGCGAAATTTGAATGGAGGTGTGTGTTATACCGAGGACATTGATATAAAAAATAGGTGTTCTTCAAGGCCTTCAACAGTTGGGTGCCCCCCTCATGAAAAAATTCCTGGCCACGAGCCTGCTGTGCCTACATATTAGCCGCCTAGAAAAACTATTTACACATTTGTGAGCACTGTGAGACAGGATAGCTCCATAAGAGTTTGTGTTTTAAATAAGGTTGGCCATTATTATTGTTTTGAACAGATGGCCATTCAAGCTCCAGACAACACTATGAACAGTGACTTGTAACAAGTAGACAAATTCTTTGTATTAATTGAGACAACATAACACTAGCGTTTTATTCGGGAGGGCCTGTTAAAATCTTAAATACTTCCAGATCAGAAACAAACACTTACGTCAGAAGGGCCTGTTCGGATCCCTTCATGATGACTGAGCTGTTGAGGTTTGCTATGTACTTGAGCATCTCTCGCCTCACAGAAATCGGGTCATAGTCCATTTCAACTGCCGACCGGTCACCCGACTTCCGGTTCCTCCCTGCATTTTGCGACACATAAGATGCTATTGTACTTGTACTAATAGGTAAACAAACAAACTCCATGCAACAGGTAGTTCCTATTAGGAATTTTTAAATTAGGAATTTATTAAGAAACCCAAACTACTACGTGTTATAAGGAAAGAATTCAAAGTTTGAAAAGACAGTACAGAGCAGCGTTACTAGATTCCGTCAGTTGTCAAACCGCGCCTGGCAGCGGCGCGAAAATGCGACTCTCTGCCATCTCCTCTTGTGAAATGGCGCTGCCGCCACGATCAGCCCAGTTGGCTACGGAAGCTTCGCAAGGCAGCAGCGTGCCACCGATCGAATGTCGCTTCTCTTTATCTCACTCTCTTTCATTGCACTGCTGTCCTTAGCACCAAGTATTCAAGGAATAGCCTTTTGACATTGTGTACTCTCTATAAAACAGCTAATGGGTGAATAAATTGGACACAGAATTTTCCTGCGTGGTATACTGTTTTATGTACGGATATAACGGGCCGGTTAGATAAAAATACAAAAGTGCGTTTGGCAATATTCACAAAAGACGTGCTTTATTGTTTGCTACAACTACCTTGTGACTGTTTTCTAGTCGATAATTCATATCTTTCGCGTAAAAATGCATCTGCATCACAATGAAAAAATTCACCACTTCGCACGTGAATGAGAACATATGGCCTCCACAGCCAAAAAGAGGGAGGCAGCACCCTTCTAGATCATCTAAAACCTTCCAGAATATGTTTCCGCAAAGGTTCAAGTCATCCAGGGAATCTCACACACCTATTTTTTAGCAGTCTTCATAAAGGCCAGCATGTTGTAGGTGGGGTGGTTTTATAAAACTTGCTTGAAACTCCTGTACTCAATTAAGTAACTGTTGCAGCCAACTACTAGAATGTCAATGCTTATGTCTGCTATGCATAGATCACATGCTGTGCCCTTTGTGACCAGCCGCACAGCTGGAAGCTGCGCTTCTTTGAGGGCTTTGATAAATATTTCGGGCAATTGGGAAAGATACGTGGTACCGCGTCTTCTTTTAGCGTCCACTTATCACGTGATATGGTGACCACTTCACCATTGAGGTAGTGGATGAAATCTTCAACGAGGTCTTCTGGCTGGAAGTGCAGGTCACACACGACACAAGAGCTGGTAAGCTCTTTGTCGAGCCTTGGAATGGCACGCTGCCACTTGCGAAGATGTGAAGCAGTCTTTGGCAGCCTGAGACTGAGCCTTAGCCTGAACTGAGTCGTAGCCACCCCTGCAGCCGGTCACAAAACACAGAGGCATATTTCCTCCCAACGCATGTGGCACTATCCTGGCGCATAGTTAGCTAACTAATATGAACAAAAAAAGCGTGCGCTTCGGCGCCTCTGCCCATTGCCGCTGCCATAATTGTCAGCACCGCTCTCCCTCGGGCTGACAGCGCTGCATGCGTCGCTCCATGGTGGTGACGGAAAAGAGTCAGGCGCCGCGGCGGAGTTTGAAAAATGAAAGTATCTAGTAACGTTGATACAGAGCGCGCTACAACACATTCCTTCAACCCCACACTGATTGATTGATTGGTTGATTAATTGGTTCGTTGACTGATTGATTCATTCATTTATTGGTTTAACATCACAAAACCACTATATGGTTACGAGAGACGCCACAGTGGAGGGCTCCAGAAATTTGGATCACCTGGGGTTTTTTTACCGTGCACCCAAATCTGAGCACACGGGCCTACAGCCTTTTTTCACCTCCATCGAAAATGCAGCCATCACAGCCGAGATTCAATCCCGTGACCTAGGGATCAGCAGCCGAAGACCTAGGCCCCTAGACCACTGAAGCGGGGCCTTCAACGCCACACAGATTTGTGACATGCAACTTACTCATGACTGAAACCAAGACTAAACAGTCATACAAAAAGGCCATACAACATGGAATCTCAGACGCCTCAAAGAAATAAAGGTTTACATGACACAGGTAACTAAACATAGCCCACACGAAGGTTTATCGAGAAAGAATGCATGAACTGCAGTCAATACTTACTAGTTTGACTAGAACGGGAAAAAGCAAATGCTCCAATGACCGCTTGACGAAGATCCACACTACAGTGTTCCTCAATTGTCGGACTGACTGCACCAACCGGACTAACTGAAACATCGAAACCAGTAACAGACATTTCGTTTTGATCCAGAGCTCCTATATCAGCGACAAGAAACACACCGGCCAAACGCCTGAGCCAAGCTATCAACCATAACATTTGCAAGATCCCATGAACAAGTGCTGAGAAGAGAAACGGGAATAGCAAGCGTTTTACGAAAGCTAACCATTAGGAAAGATTTCTTTGGGAATGCATGTGCAGTTTACTAGTAACAATAATTTACCTCTAAACACACTGAACAACAAGCAACAAGCAGCAATCGATTTGGCCCAGGAAATACTGACAACACATAATTTTTAGGTCAAAGTGTATTCTGCAATAACGTCAGTGTTGCTGGATTTTGCTGCTTGAAGGATTTGTCTGTAAAACTTTTTTCGAGGTAATTTACCCTCTAGCGTCATTTCACAGTCAGAATGCTTGCAATAGAAGGTCTTGGGGTTGACAGACACAACTTAATCGTGAATAAAGCTTTGTTTTCATAAAACATATGTGACATTTGTAAAGTCCTGAAATTAGGTACAATTTATAAAGTATATAAGAAAACTCTAGAGAACTATAAACTTTTCAATTTTCTAAGCTTTTCGTCATTATGTAAAGAAAATGTTCATAAAATATTTGAAAACAACAGTAGCAGGCCTCACCTGACTTCTCAGGGCTTCCAGCAAGCCTTTCCTTCATCTTAGCAACTCGCTCGATGCTGTGGCAGAGGAGACACTCTCGCGTCGTGTGCAGCTCAAAGCCATCACTCCGCTCTTCAACGCTTTCAGTCCCTTCAGACAACTTATCCTCACCACTGCCACCTGTAGATGGCTGCACGTGATCATAAACCTGCAACCAAAGATAAAAGAATACTTCGGCACAGGCATCTTACAAATTCTCTATGCAGTACAGCGGCCCAAAACAGCTATCGGGCGCAGCAGCCACTTTTTTGTATGTAATATGATGGAACCAAAAAATTGTTGTGGGCGCATGTGCCTTGTGGGTATGCACATGTCTGCACCGTTTTTGGGACTTAATTCAGTCATATAGAAAGATACATAGAAAAAACTGCCGCTTGAGCACGATTATCTAGTTGAAGATTTGGCCGACTGTTCAACGCAAACGATATGTGACAAGGAATTCTAAAACTGCATGCGCTTTGCTAGGCACAATTATGCTTCGTGATAAACAAAACATGGACAAGAATGGCACCAGGGACAAGGCTGTAGCTTCAACACTTTCTAGTAATTTCAGCCATCTTATAAGCTTTTTGAAGGAGTGTTTCTAGAGTATGGATAGAAAATGTGCTGTTTAAATTCTATAATTTCTAGCCCTGACATTTATTAAAATCTGTCCTGCCTTTGCACTAACACTTCGAGAGTAAAAAGTAGTAACCTCACACATCATGAGTGGCAGTGCTGCTAACAACACTCCAGGGATGCCAGCAAGACTTGCCGTATTGTCTTCCCCTACAACCTGGCTGGAGAACAGCTGCATTTTATTTTATTTGTTTGTTCTCTAGACCTACACAGCACAACACCCATCAATTGCAACACACCATGCTTTCCAGTGTACCATTCATAGATTTCACCATTAGGAAGTAAGACAAACATTTATAATAAGTGTCTATCCTCTACGTATACCTGCAGCATCAGGGTCAGAAACAACCTCACTACTGAGTAGTGTAACTGCTTGTGGTAGGTGGTGTTAAACATCCTGCACAAAAGCACAAGTGTCATGTCTTAGTGAGTGAATAAGAGTCTGCACAGCATTGGAAACAAAACACAATCTTAGGGCTGATTCGCGAACGTTGGGACACACGCACACGCACACGCACGCGCACACACACACACACACACACACACACACACAAGAATGGGCTGAACATATAATTCTAGCACTACAGATCAGTTCTTAAAAACATGCACCAGCTAATAAAAACAACGAATAGATGTTACCGTTACATTTAAAGCCTTAGCCAGTTTAGCCCATGTTTTGCACAGCTCTTTCATTGCTGTGGTTGTACTTCCAAGGGAAGTGCTCTGATGCTAAAAGCTTCGATTCTGATTATGACAGTGAGTAGGTTCAGACTAGAAGGGAAGTGTAAATGAGATGAGCGTATAGTAAAACCAGAAGATTTAAGTGATGATCTTGTTGAATCCAAGAAGCATACAATGAACTAACAGAAACGTCAAAGTAGAAGCAAGTTGCCAAAAAGAGGGGTAGTGTACAATATTTAACATGACATGGCTGTTCTATAGACTTTTGAGGCAACAAGAGGCAGGGCACAAACACTCCTACACGCAAAAGTTCCAACTACAGACTGAAAGCTAATGTAGCTTAGCCCACTTAAGTGGGTTTCTGCTCTTCCCCATGCTAAGTCGGGCCAAAACTAGAATTCAAGCTTTAAAAATTTTGTGTTAGTTTTGTTACGAAGAATCCTGAACCCAAACTGCTTACAATGTACTGTGACAGACAACAACAGACACTGTTAGCTGCATCAACTTACAGAAAAGATTAGTGCAGTATCAACAGGCACGCAGAGTCCCATGAACCTCTCGTCGGTCCGTCCCGCTGATGATCGGGCCGTTGCTGCAGAAGCAGTGCTTGACATTGACATAGTCCGAATGCTGGTGGTGTCATCTGGATAAGGCTCCTCCCCTCTGTGTGTACAGAGGCAACAGAGCCGCATTAGCTGTAGCTACTCTTGGGCTATTCACACAGCATGGAAGTGATGGGCAATTGTAAACATGTATATTAAGATCCTGTGAGAAGGAAAATGCATAAGAGGGAGAAAGAAAATCAGGTGGGCAGATGAGATTAAAGGGATACTGAACAAAATTTTTGATGCCAAGACTTTCAGCCAAATTAAAAGATTTGGTCCTGAAATCGATAGATAGAAACTTCATTCCAGCCAGAAACTACAGGAAAATAATGAATTTAATGCATTTTTCAAAAACTGCCACATCAAACGGCTATGCTGTGAACTACAAGAGGTGTCGTTTGGTGATGTCACATCCACCCGAAAAGGGCAAGCTAACAATGCCAGCCATCACACGCATCTCTCGACTCGCTCATCTCCCTTTATGGCTCCCAGCATAGGTATGAACAGCACCCTTTACAAACAATGCTCCCAGCTGAGGTAAAACATCAGTGCTTTTGTGGAAGGTGAAGAGTGGAGAGAAAGGAAAGGTGGAGAAAAGAAAGAGAAGGACAGGAGCTCACGCACCCTGCATGCGCCTTGGCGACTGACGTCATGGCTCTCACTCGCGTGCAGCCACCACGCGCTGACAATCCAACAAAAATACAACCAACTGTTCAAACATATGGGACAATTAACTCTGTTCATCAGAACAGTCGCATCTCCCTAGTAAAATTTCTAAGTTTTGTCAGTTCTTCCAATTTTCGTTCAGTATCCCTTTACGAAGACAGCAGGTATGATGTGGCAGCAGAAAGCACAAGACTGGGTTGATTGGAGGAACATGGAAGAGGCCTTTGCTTTGCGGTGGGCGTAGTTAGGACAGATGATAATGGTGATATCAAGATACATCAGGAAAGGCAGCGAGCGGGCTTCAGTCCTTTAGAGCATCTAAGACCGCAGTGATGACACTGTTCTGAAGCAGCTTCAAATGGTGTGTTTTGTAGCAATTTCTAGGGTCAAACATTATTCTTAATATAAATATTTTACTTTGTGAAAACAGAAAATTCCAGTGGTCTTACTTGACATGCAATACTGATGAACCGACCAGAATTTCCAAAAATTAATAGTTCATGTTCCCGTGAATAAATTAATACAGCTTACAGAGCAATAATGAAGTGAAAACAAGAGATAAGTGATGCTTTGGATAGCTGCACATAGCTAGTACAAAATTCCAAGTACGAGGCCCCCTCCCATTTCTGCGCTAATTTTATATTTTCACCTCGTTCTGAGAGCACACATCCTCCTTTTCCCCCCACCCACATCTTTACACCCCCATCATGTACACCTTCACGAAACATGGCCTGCTTGAATCCCATCCAATCGTATACTTGGCAGCCCAACACCTCAGTGCCTTCAGGTGAAATTTATTGCCAAAATTTCATTCTCTGTTCAACTGCATTAGGATCACCCCCAAACTTGGCGCAAAACACCAATGATGATTTTCAGGATCCCATGAGCAAAAGCATGGCCTTCGAGATCTATATTCCAAGATGGTACTTATGATGGCGTAGTCAGCTAAAATAAGGCCTTCGAGATATGTGTTTGTAGGTTAGAGCTTTTGTGATGGCAAATTATTAGAGGTGCTTCCATGTCAGGCTTTGCGCGTTTTGATCACGTTGACATCGTGCTTGATTTAATCTTGGGTCGTTCTTGTAATGCATCGTGCCATGGAAAGTGAGAAGAGTTACGAGGAAGGCCGTATGCACTCTTTCTTTTTTTTACAACGCAATATTTGGTGTTACTACATTGAATATTGGTGCCGTTCCGAGAAAGCGTCCTTCTCTGCCCTCCACTTAGCTGGTAATTTCGAATTGTTAGGGGAGGGGTGGGGTTAACAGTAAGCCTCAGATGAATTAAGAAAGTCCATGTTAATAAAACACCACAGTTTACATGAACTGAGAATTAGACTAAAGTAAATAAGACTTGATTTCATTCTAAACCCAATGAGACTGAAAATAAATTCGACAGAAGATCCGAGAGGAAAATACAGATAAACAATACACTGCATAGCTAAACCTGACTACACTTCAACAATTTTTTAACACAAAAGTGTTCTATTCCAGGCTCCACCAAGACTTCTATGACGCATTTCCCTCACTGATATGACGTTGTAGTACTAACGCTACCAAATGAGAAAGAAAAACATTCAAGAAAAAGTTCTCCAACTTGGGTCGAACCTCTGACTCCTTTAGAAAATAATGAAAGGCACCTGGTGCTCTACTGACTGAGCTATTAAGACATTTTCTGGGTGCCGTAACGAACGCGCCTCATATCTTTCACACATTCTCTCTCGCTCTGTGCTCTCTGTTGGTGAAGCGGGGCGGTGCTGTCGTCTGTGAGTGCTCAAGAGGAGTGGTGCGGCATGACACAGTTAAAGCATGGCGTCTCGAGATTGCACCCCAGAAAGTAGTCTTGAAGGCCACGGTGAAAGCTTTTCAATAGCAGTGAAAAACCCTGACCGAGCGAGCATACGATGCAGTTATGCTCTTTGCCTTTCTCTTCATGTTAGTGCGTGACAACTCATCGTTGAAGTCGTGCTGCTTCCACATGCACCAACGACGTTTCACCGCCGACTATTTCAAGTGTGATAGCACCGGCTTATTAAATAAAAAAACTGCTGCAGTAAGCACTGCAGCATGGCGACGATATCAACTGGTCATGATGGAGCAACACTGAGGTCAGCTAGATGTGGAATGCCACCGTGTGTTCACAGCTCAAGCTATGAACCTCTGCATCCCAAGTGCTCAAGCACAGTATGCGCAAGTGCTGACGTAGGTTTAACCCCTTCGGCGGTGGTGTGCGCAATTGTACACATAAGTTTGGAGGCACCTCATGCACCAAGTGTTTCCTCAAATAGCTTGAAACTTATTATGTACATTTGTGGAAGCTTCCGGCATTGGGCATCTTGTGGTAATTTAACCTTATTGTGCACCATTTGCTTCACAGGGTCACTTTGCTCGAGAAAATACTATGTTTGACAATCATGCCACGTTCCAAGATCAACATGTCACGTTCCAGATCAACGTTAAGAGTTTATTTTTTTTTGTACTGAAAACAAATTGTAGCATGAAAAATACAAACAATGCATTTTGGACCTAATATCATACTTTTTTAAGCAAAAATGGTAGCTGAGTGATTGTACTATAATTAGGTACTTGATTACATGCTAATTTTTACTAACTACATAAACTCACAACACCTTCCTTCATTTCCTTTCTTGGACTAATACTGAGTGCCTTAAAATCAAGTCATGGGAATCGACTTGCAGGCAGTGAATCTTGATTCGCGCCTGAAAGGATTAAAGAGCACACACCATGCTGTTTCTCTCCCTAACTGACAATCTTTGATGATGTGCATAACGGGTAGCAGGGTTAATTAAAAAACCAGCTTGATTCGCAGGTTTCTTACGGTCCAAGTTACTTCGCATTAGTGAGGTCTTACTGTACTTTCCATGTTGGACCATATACTATCCACACAGGCTATTGGTCCCAGTATTTTGTAAGCATTCTCTGTAATTGCACTTTAATAAAACACATTTCAGTCAGATTTAATTTGAAACTACTCACATGTAGAAGCCACTACGATCGAGACTCCAACCAGCAAAAGATGGAGGCGAAAAGAGCTCCCCGTGCGGCTCTGTACCATCGCAGCCAACCGAACAGACACGCTTCCGACGGCGGCGCATTGAGGAGGCCTCACGCACTGCCCGCAGCGTCGCATAGCCTGCCACATCCCGTGCACTCGTGTACATCAGCACCGGAGAGTCTGGAGACAGGGGACTTGTCGCGGTGCTGCTCCGCGTAAGTGTCCGCACACCGCCAATAAATCCCCTGGGCCTCCGCGGCATCACAGCACCATCACCCCTGTTCCCACCCAGAGTGCTTAGTGAGGTCGAGCTCGCAATTGGGCTCAAAGTCTGCACTGTCCTCGCTGTGGCAGCATTCTCGTCGCACGAGCTCACACCGCTCGTCGTCGAGTCTGTGCAGCTGTCAGACCGGCTCTTGCCGGTGGTGATGGCACTCTCGTTGCTGTCACTCCGCTCTCCTTTCACCTCGGCATTGCTGGAACATTTCTCAGTAAAGGATGTCTCAGTGCCCGAGTCACGGCTCCCTCCAAACGAGCTCGACCTATCCTTTGAGCTGTCAGGCACCGACAGCAGCCTGCACTCAGCAACAGAAGGGTGTACTGCAACTGCCTGAAATGTGTCCAGTACAATTACATTTAGAGTGTAACATACAATATGCAAGGACTCAAAGTACAATATTTACATCAACCAAATAATAACAATCATTGTAGGGATTTTACGTCCCAAAATCATGATTGGATTATGAGAGATGCCACAGTTGAGGGCTCTAGAAGTTTCAACCACCCGAAAGTGCTTTTAAGGGATACTAGAAAAAATGTTTACCACCAAGATTTTCAGTCATATTGCAAGACTACGTGTTGAAATCAAGAGACAAAACCTTCATTTTAAGTTGGAAATTAGAGAAAAACGTTTAATTTAATCCCCTTTTCACAAACTGCCACATCTAGCAGAAACTCCATAACCTAAAGGTGACAGTGTCATTTCAAGCACCAGTGCCAACAACGCCAGCTGCTGCCTGCGTCAAATCGCTCAGCTCCCACTACGACTTCTAGAACCACTATGAAAGGCAACGGCAGTGAGCAATTTTCCCGCCGTGGGTAAAGCATCAGCGCTTTTGTGGAGGGGGAGGTGAAAGAAGAGGTGGAGAACCTTAAGCCACTGCATCATCTTTCCAAAAAATGGAACAATCATTTTAATATTCAAGAATACCAGACCAGAATGAATATTTAAGCTAATTTTTTTTGTTCACTCTGTCTGTCATTTGTCTTGTGATGACCAGGTGCACTTTAATAACAAAGATTTATTTTTTTCCAAGCTGTCACCACCTGCTTACATGCCTTTTGGCAAAACAGGGTATTTCTGAATAAATGAATGAATGAATGAATGAATGAATGAATGAATGAATGAATAGGAACATGCCACAGTCTTCATTAAAAAAGAGGTCTTGTAACGTTAAATTCAAGTACATTTTTAGTTTGAGCTTGATAAATTGGGTGTACATTAAACTCAAGAAAAAACAGTGGACAGGAAATGAAAGCTGTATTGAGAATTATATGATCAAAACTAAAGTTTGTCAAAAGAGGAACAGAATATGTGCTCCACACTGGCAGTAAATGCAATCAGGACAATCAAACAACGAAGCTTAAAGCTTCAGGACATCACCAAACTAAGACAAGAAGGTCAATTACAGGGTTTGTCCGCTCATCAAAATGCCACATCTGGACCGAAGACTGCCCGAGTTTGTTCAATGTTAATCAGCCCCATATGAAAACAATCATGCATTTTCACTACCCATATTCACAAATCAATCTTCTGCATATCACTTCTCTTTTTCATCATTTATGTGCTTTTGAACATGCTTCATAATATTGTTACGTTTGAAAGAGACTGGTAGACGTTGAAAGGGGCCGTTTATTAGGTCGCGAAGGGCAGCTCAGAAGCGGCCGACTGGGTAACGATCCTCCTGATCCTCTTCTTCTTCTCTCGCTCTGGGCGACAAGTACGTTCACCGTATACGCTTCTTTTTCTTCGTGCATATACGCAACATTCCTCTCCGCGCAGACGAAGGCCGCCGGACGAGTCAGTCGAGTTGTCGTGGCGTGTACAGTTTCAGGCGGGCAACATGAACTACTTGAGTTTTGGCAGCTCGTCGACCACTCGCCGTGAGACGAGCTATTACATAGTTGACCTCTGTAAGTCTGTCGACAATTACAAAAGGTCCATCGTAAGTGGCCAAAAACTTTTGGCATAACCCGCGCTTGCACATCGGAGTCCACAACCACACCAGATCACCACGGCGATAAATCACTGGTCGATGGTGAATGTCATAGCGTGCCTTCGCCTTGTCTTGCGATGCCAATGTGCGCAGTAGAGCTATGCGACGCGCCTCTTCGGCGAGGCAGAGAGTCTCGGCGACAGTGACGTTGTCGTGATCACAGAAAGGCAATATCGTGTCGATTGTGTACCGGGGCGAACGGGCATAAAGCAAAAAGAAAGGGCTATAGCCTGTAATCTCATGCTTCGCGGTGTTGAACGCGTAAGTAATGAAAGGGAGTACGTCATCCCAGTTCTTGTGGTCGCAGGAAACATACATAGATAACATGTTGATAATGGTGCGGTTGGTACGCTCCGTCAGCCCATTAGTTTGGGGGTGGTATGGTGTCGAGTGACGCAGGCGGGATTCACATAAACGGAGTAGCTCCTCCACGACATCCGCTGTGAATTGTCGTCCACGATCACTGATAATCAGGCGAGGTGGGCCATGTCGGAGGATGACGTACTGTAACAAAAACGACGAGACTTCACTGGCAGTTGCGGAGGGGACGGCCGCCGTCTCGCAGTAGCGTGTGTGGTAGTCGACGCAAACAATTATCCATCGGTTGCCCTTAGCCGATTTTGGGAAGGGGCCCAGAAAGTCAATGCCCACTTGTTCAAAAGGTGCGCCTGGAGTAGGCATCGGCTGTAGAAGACCAGCTGGACCAGTTGATGGACGTTTGTGACGCTGACATTGCATGCAGCTTGCCACATAGCTCTCAACAGACTTCTGCATACCAGGCCAATAAAAGCGCTCTTTAGTCCGGTGAAGCGTCCGCGCCAAACCTAAATGTCCAGATGTAGGGTCGTCGTGCATGACACTCATAATAACTGTTCGCAGGCTCTCCGGGACCACTAGAAGGAAACGCGCGCCACTACTGGAGAGGTTCCTTTTGAACAACAGTCCATCACGCATACAGAAACGGCGGGCACTAGTAGAAGCGGATGCAGCGGCGAATAGTGGTGCCAGTTTAGCATCCTTCCGCTGTTCTGCTCTGAAACTGGGATAGTCCGGGAACGTAGGCGACACAGACGCTACAAGCTGGTCAAGGTCATCGGATTCACAGTCTGTTGTACTAAGTGGCATACGTGAAAGACAGTCCGCGTCAGCATGTCGACGACCACTCTTGTAAGTGACGGTAAAACTGTATTCTTGTAGCCGGAGTGCCCAGCGCGCAAGGCGACCACAAGGGTCACGAAGGTTGACAAGCCAACACAACGAGTGGTGGTCGGTTACGACTGTGAATGGGCGTCCGTACAGGTAAGATCTAAACCGCTGAATTGCAAATAATACCGCCAGGCATTCTTGTTCCGTAACAGTGTAGTTTTGTTCCGGCCTGCTTAGGGAGCGACTTGCGTATGCGATGACGTGTTCGCGGTCGCCGTAACGTTGTACTAGGACGGCGCCAATACCTATGCCGCTAGCATCCGTATGAAGCTCTGTCGGAGCAGAAGGACTGAAGTGCTGAAGGACGGGTCGTGACGTCAGCAAAAACTTCAATTGACGGAATGAAGAATCGCACTCCGGAGTCCACTCAAAGGAATTGTCCTTTCGTAAGAGGCATGTGAGAGGATACGCCACGTCGGCAAACTTCGGAATAAAGCGGCGGAAGTACGAACAAAGCCCCAGGAAACTACGAAGCTCCTTGACGGAACGCGGTGCATTGAACGCCTCAACTGCTGCTGTCTTCTGGGGGTCAGGGCGGATGCCATCCTTGTCAACGAGATGCCCGAGCACAAGAGCAAATGATGACGCTCTATTCATCGACGAGCGACCGACGTTTCGACCTCGGCCGGTGTGCTATTCCTGCGGTGTGCCAGGCCACATATCGCGATTTTGCAACCGTCGGGTGACTCCTCGGTATTACCAACCATGCGATTTTTCACGACCCTTCGAACAGCCTCATGGTGTCCGGCGGCCGGCCCACATACCACCTGATTACAACTATTGGCCCAGCAACTTCCGCAACTACTCCCCGGCATCTGACAGGAGTTTAACGCCCCCACCGCGACCTCGTGCTCATCGTTCTCCTTCACCGATGCGTCGCAAAGCACCCTCTTCGCCACCGGAAAACTAGCCAGCGCGGCCAATGGGGGTGAGGTCGCTGGAAACGTGCTACTAAGAGAAATGCCTCCTGTGTGTATGTTTAAAAACAAAGTGCGTGTTTTGGTGGATCACGTGCCTGTGATGGCGTTGGTGGACACAGGTGCAACGATTTCCGTGATGAGTGGTTCTTTTAAAGACGTGTTAGGGCGGAAAGTTGTTTTTACCTGGGATGAAACTTCGACGTTCTGTGGAGTGAGTGGAGAGCCATTGCGCCCTATTGGTGTGTGTAGTGCTGAGGTATTTTTGGGAGGCCTTATGATAACGACAGAGTTTGCGATTATTCCTCGGTCGACACATGATGTCATTCTCGGCATGGACTTCTTGCGAGAATGTGGTGCCACTGTAGACTGTCGCACGGGGAAAGTCTTTGTGAGTGGCCAAATGCCTTCAGAACTTCTGGAAACTCCAGCGAATGACCAAACTACGCTGTGTGTCTGTGGCGATACGTTCATACCTGCGTTGTCTACCGTACGTGTTCCTGTTGTTTGTCGCGGCGCTGATTCTGACAGCTTCGATGCGAGCGTAGAACCAATGCACATAAACTGCGTGAAGAAGAATGTGTTGGTTCCCCATTGTGTGGTGTCGATTGATGGCGGAAGAACTGGCCTATGGATTGTAAACTGTTCCTCTGAGCCCGTGACCCTACCCAATGGTTTAAAATTAGCTTCGGTTAGCAAAGAACACGCGACCTTATCAGTGGTCGAGCTCACAGACGTGCCGGAAGAACGTGACGGAACTGGTTGTCACAATTTAGACGGGGCGCTTATGGCAACGATAAATAAGTCGCTTAGCTCAAGCGAGCGCCGAACTTTAATGAATGTGCTGTTGAAGCACGTTTCGGTATTTGACTTTGCGCAGAAGGGCAAAGTAATCCCTATCCCCCTGTCTCGAACGCGCCATACCATCAACACTGGCGCGGCAAGTCCGATTCGCCAAAAACCGTATCGTGTTTCCCCGTCAGAAAGACAAATTATCAACGACCAAGTGCAGGAAATGATGCAAAAGGGAGTAGTACAAGAGTCAGCCAGTCCGTGGGCAGCACCGGTAATCCTTGTTAAGAAGAAGGATGGATCTTGGAGATTTTGCGTCGACTATCGCCGACTGAATGCCGTGACTAAAAAGGACGTATACCCGCTGCCCCGTATAGAGGATGCAATAGACTGCTTACATTCGGCCTCTTATTTTTCCTCCGTAGACTTACGATCCGGTTATTGGCAAATTCCGATGCACCCAGAGGACAAGGAAAAGACTGCCTTTGTAACCCCTGATGGGCTCTATGAATTCAACGTAATGCCATTTGGACTGTGCAATGCACCGGCAACCTTCGAGAGGTTTATGGACACCATTCTGCGTGGCTTGAAGTGGAACATTTGCATGTGCTACCTCGACGACGTCATCATCTTTGGCCGCACGTTCAGTGAACACAACTCTCGTCTGGATACTGTTTTGAACTGCATCCGAAACGCTGGCCTAATTTTAAACTCGAAGAAATGCCACTTTGGAGACCGCCAAACGCTTGTGCTCGGGCATGTCGAAGTCACTCACGGCAGATGGTGGGAGACCGGCAAGTCGACGGCTTCGTCGAAGCTGTGGCAGTGATCGTTCCGTAGTTGAAGCGCTTACCCAGCACCTCCACCACTCTGTTACGTTTGAAAGAGACTGGTAGACGTTGAAAGGGGCCGTTTATTAGGTCGCGAAGGGCAGCTCAGAAGCGGCCGACTGGGTAACGATCCTCCTGATCCTCTTCTTCTTCTCTCGCTCTGGGCGACAAGTGCGTTCACCGTATACGCTTCTTTTTCTTCGTGCATATACGCAACAATATATTAAACCAGACATCAGAAACCATTCTTGTTTTATATTTGCTTTCCTTAGCATCCCTGTGCCTTTAATAGTTTACATTTCAAGTTTAATAGTTTATATTTCAATACTTCAACAAAGACATGGCAAAGAAGTGGCAAGTATAAGGTTGGTTTGTTCGCCCTTCTTCACATCAAGAAATACGTGGCAAACAAATTAGGTACAATAGACTCAGTATGATTCACTCTGATAATCCACACTTTTGATCAATTCAAACAAAACTAAATTTTTTGGTTGGCCCTCTATTCTTTCAATGTATTTAAAAGCCTCTCAATTCATACTTCATCATTAAGTTAATTCATACTTTTTGCAGGTCCTTACCAAGAAATATTAGCTGTTTTCTCACCACTATTTAAAAAATTGTGTGCTTATATATTCCTAATAGTTTTTAGGCCTTCAAAGAAAGACTTTGCAAGTAAACACATGTTTGAAACGAAGCACATGCATGGTAAATTATGACGCCTCTCAACTGGTATAGAGAGCTTTGCGCTGAAGGCACATACCTATAGCAATGAAGCAGTTGGCAATTCAAGATTCTTCAAAAGGCCTGATCAGCAGTAAATGGCCAATAAACTTGTGCAGTTAGGGCTTAAAAACACTAGAAACATTTTTAAATGTGATAAAATCAATGCCTAATTACCTCACCCAGAGTCATCTACCTGAAAACTTCTGATAATTCAAACTTCTTCATAATTCAAACAACATTCAGAGGTATCTTCAAATTTGAATTAATGAGAGTCAACTGTACAAGTATAAGATTGGTTCGTCAACACAAGCCAATGTTTGCAAGAGGCACTATAGGTAACGTTTCTAAACAGGTAGTCGTTACAGCAAACAAACCTCCGGACTCTTGTAGACCTGTCTCTGCGTTGTCTCCCCATTTGCATCGTGCCTCGCATCGCCCGGCCTACAGTCCGACGAGGAACGCGGCCTCCGAGACGAGGCAACCAGAGCATCGTGTCGAGGGGACAGAGTCACATTGCGCGGCAAGGTCTGTGAATGACGCACGCCACTGTTGCTGCTCTCTGCTTGGGACTTCGCCTGCTCCGACACAAAGTTGAGAGTCCTCCGCTGCGGCGTCTCACCAGCGTCGACGCAACTCAGGGACGACGCTGCGGAGCCGTGAAAGCGCCTGTGTAGAGCGCTGGCGGTGAGCATCTCGCTCTGCTGGCTCCCTGCACTGCTTATGGACCAGGTGTGTGCCCGGAGTGGTGCAGGTGACGTTTTCACGGCACGCAGCGCGTCCGATGCCACAGGCCAAACCTCGTTGTGCTTGTGCTGAACGCAGTCCCAACCAAGGCCACTAAGATACTCGACAGAGTCTCCCGTGCTGGCCAGTAAGCACAGCACATAAAAGCACACCCTGTGAAAGGAAGACAAACGTAGTGAAAAATAGTAGAAAGCTCTCAAGTCCAGTGTGAATACAGAAAAGTGAATTGTCACTGCGTTACAAAGGAGCGTACAGTGAGAGGTCATTAGTGATTTTGCTGGCTCATGTGCCACCTATGGGCCAAATCACTGAATATGTGGCACTGCTGCTGAATACTAATGAGATCTAACAGACAATCATGCCAAGGGAAGTATATGAAATCGTTTTGTATAAAAACAATATTCAGGACACAGTGGCCCTGAAGTAAAAACTCACCCTCTAATTGAGTATATTGGAGACTCTTGAGCCATTCTGACTACAGATGAGAGCACATCTGCATCTGCCACAAGTGCAAAGCCTTCTGGTGATGTTCCAACATGGCCCTGCAAAATAAAAAAAAAAGCCTTTTCCTTACTGTCTACATTTGCCGAGACACGAATCTCATACATTGATTTCATCAATGACACACTACACTAAATATATAGATAAAATTTTGCACCTGGTTTCTAGGTTCAGTAAGCGAGAAATCGCATAAAAAAATAAAAATGAAGGTGCCAACACTACCCTGAAGTTGCTGCGTCAAACGCTGTGATGTCATAGATTTTGACGTCTACATAGTCCCAAATCAGCAAAAACGAAGTACATGTTCACCTGAGGGGGTCATAGACTTAAGAAGTTTCAGGAAACTTCATTCAGCCGATGTCCCCAAGAATACAAAAAATAGACTGCAAAATCCGTGACATCACGTGCGGAAATTTTGAAGCAAAAGTTAAAAATGAAACATTAGCCTTTATTTCCTCTTCTATTAATAAATCTATGATAAAAAAATTGATTGATTGACATGTGGGGTGAACGTCCCAAAGCCACCATATGATTATGAGAGACGCCGTAGTGGAGGGCTCCGGCAATTTCGACCACTTGGGTTCTTTAACGTGCACGCAAATATGAGCACACAGGCCTACAGAATTTCTGCCTCTATGATGAAAAAAAAATGATAATAATAACTAATGACATTATAATTCTCGGAGCAGAATTTATCAATCTGATATATTTCTTTTATTATTGTAATCATTTTCCTGTACATATATTTTTCGAGTGCCATTATAATGCATTTTCATTCATGCATTGTATTTCAACCTGCTAAACTCCCGAAGGGGTTGCAGTAAAAATAAATAAAACAATTAAAACATTCTTGTTACACCTCAGTGTTTCTTCAACTGCATTCCTTTAGAACACCTCAAATGCCGGCCATGTGTTGTTGCACATAAATCCAGATATATTAAAAGTCCTGCCATTGCACAACAAAATGCATACCACTGTCCACAATGATGCCTTGAGTCGCAGAAGGGCCTCTTCATTTGACATGTCGCCAGCCATGACAGTCTCAAAATGGTGCTCCAGGCTTCCATGCTTCTGCAGATACTCCAGCCCTTCTTTGTGCTGTACCATCTGGCCATAGAGGTGAGGAGGGGCAAACACATCTTGCACTTTGAGTCTGCAAAAGAAAAGCAGTCCAATGAATTCTCAACAGAGTTTGGTCCTGCACAACGACAAGAAAGGATCAAAGTCCCATGTTCAATCGAACAAAAAGTCAAATGTTCTATTCTACTCCTTCTCAGCCACACTGGAATGAAGAGCTTTCTACTAAGCAGAAACTGAGTCTTATGCTTCCTATAAACCAGGGGTTGTTGGTGCCACGGAAGAATGCTAAGCTATAATAAGTTCCAGGGAGCCTCCCCCAGCTCCCCTTCTCCCAGTGAGCTTTTTTTTTATTTTCTTATTTTTAATAAATTCAAAAACAAGGGTATATAAAAAGTCTAAGAAAGAGAAAAAAAGACAACCACCTGTTTGTAGCACGAAGCCACAAGGAAAACCATACGGATTTCTCAAGAAAGAAAAGCCTCTTATGTGCCAAAAAGTTTTTCCTGGTCCAGATCAACTTATCGGCAACTAAGAGGCTTTTCTTGCCGAGAAATCAGTACGGTTTTCCTTGTGGCTTCGTGTTACAAATTGGTGGTTGTCTCCTTTCCCTTTATTAACCCTTCCTCCACCTTTTGGGTTTTCGCAGAACTCATTTCCATATAAAAAGTTGATTCACCAATATGCGACCTAACTAACTTTATTTTTTCAAACCTTCCGACTTTTTGCTTATGCTAGCGGTACCTATCTTCAAAATAGCCAAAATGCGCATGGTGGTAATATATGGCCCCCGAGGTTTAAGCCACCACGCGTCCCATTTTCAGAGTCTGACTGGCTACAAACTGCTGGAGGGATTTATTGCGCAGCTCCCGCGTTTCTGTTACGCAACAAGATATGTTTATTGACGCTTGGGCATGAATAATGAAGGTTACCCTATCACACCTCAGGATCACCGTCTAAGTGGGTTGAGTAGGCGAGTGCGGAATCAGGGAAAACTTATCAGTGGCTTGTGGAACCCTGAAGGGGCACCTGAGGTTCCGCAGAACCCACTTTGGGAACCCCTGCCGCAGACTCATAAAAACCGTGCAAGCAGTTTAGCCTTGCAAGCAGTGGAAATCAGATGATGCCAAATATTGCCAATGCACCTTGCCAACTCCCTATTTGCTGTTACAGGTCAATCAATAAATTAATCTATCGATGAACCAATCAATAAAACATCATCTGGATTGAGCACACAATTTTGTTAGCACTGCATGGATCTGCCCCCCTACAAACACAATTCATGAGAACACCGCCCATGTACACGAAGGTTACAACATTTTATGATCATGAGTATTCATATAATACATTCATCAAATGGCAGGCTTAGATCCCACTTCATCAAATGAATAACAAGCACAACGGTGCTTGAAGTGCCCCCAGTTCAGTCATCTCAAAGCCATGAAGTTATGTAACATAAACAACAACAAAAGCACATACCTCGTGTTACTGCTCCGCCTTCCATAGGTTCCATCTTCACCTCGCTGATGCCAGGTCACTGCTTGACTGATGGCATCTTCAACAATCTTCACATATCGAAGATTGTCAACCTGTACAAAAAAAGAAGACCTATGTCGACTAAACACCCTATTAAGACAAGTCAGGCACATACGCTTATCAAGTAGTCATTAAGACTGTCTTTGTTTAACCACTGATGGCCACATATCATGACACACATTGAGAGCACAAGTTAAGTTTGTTAAAAACATGTACAAATATGCAAAGCAGTCATCTCCAGCAACAATACCCTGCTAGGTAAAACATCGTCCAATGTTAGGCATTCTGTACATCAATGTACTAATGCTGGTCATCAGTGACAATGAGCAGTGCAGTCCAGTGTTAAAAAAAAGTGTCATGGTGAACTTTCGCCTTTGGCGAGCGAGCAGTCACCCTAATAGCAGATGACCTGTTGGTGGTTAAAGCATCAGTTCATGTGAATGAGCCTTGCGACTGTTCCGCAGTGTAGCCAGCTGCTTCTGCACCAATAAACCCAACATAACTAAGTTTAAATAAATGAGAAAGCACCACTCATTTGAAGAGTTGAGCTAGTTTGCAAGTTAACTTTTTTGAGAACAGGTGAAAAAAATGCCAGGCCTGTGCATAATGCGCAGCACAGTCACAGCTAAAGCTGGACGAGCAGCCTTCCACAGCCTTTTCTGTACACTCTTCAGGTAACGGCTGCAAGCACACTTGCTGGGTACTAAGCCATAAATGATTATAATTCTTTTTGTAGTAGGGAGGCATTCACAAAGGAATTTTGTGCAATATTTTCATGCTGTGGCTGACGACGAACAATTATGCCTGAAGCTTTAGTAGTAGGTTGGAGTATTCGATGACAGACTTGCTTTACAATTCGCATTGTGTGATGCCAGGTTGTTCTTTTGCTATTCTAAAACACTTTATTACTCATATTAACAAGATTGTTTTTCCTGACATCAAGCCTGCATAAAGTCAATTTGCGACACAGTTTCAAGCACATGTGTGGTAGACTACCAGAGCTGGCACATATTGGGAATCCGGGTTCGAATCCCATTGTGTCCTAGGTGTTTTTTCATAACTTAGTTTTTTTTTTTTTTTCTTATTTCACGCGATAAAGGTTACGAACACCAGCAGCAGCAGGCTACTGCGGCACACGCGACCCTTGTTGAGATCTTATTAAAGCTTTCGTCATAAAAAAGAAGTCAGTCATAGTAGCCAAAACAAGTGCACCAGCCAAAGAGAGCGCTTGTACGAACCTCATCCCACTTGCGCAGCTGATGTGCCAGCAGTTCGGCTTCCAGCATGTACTTGAAGCCACTTGGCACAGACAGGAAACGGATGTGCAAGAGCAGGCCTCGGTCACCGAACGATAGTAGCACTGGGCGCAGTGCGATCAGGGCTTCCAGATTTTCCTGCCAGTGGTTGAAGAGTGGTTGAAACGAACAGAAAACATAGAGCTGCTACATTTCTATGCACCACTGTGAATTGAAATATCAAATTGCGTTCTCTGCATCATCAGCACCAAGGTTGGCAGCGACACCTCATCACACTGTGACCAGCCATAGCATGTTGAGAAAGCTTTCACATAGAACCAACTTTTTGGGAAAAATATAAGTAGTAAAAAGGAGAATAGAAATACACCTTACAGTGACGAATATGTCCTCGGTGAAACATCTGTGCACAAGCAGAAAAATTAGAAATGGTGACTAACGCGCATTTAGGTTAAGCAACACCCAGTATTCCTGGGTACAGCGCGGAAAAAACAGAGGAGATGCTCAAAAGTAAGAGGGATAACAGAGACAAGACCTATTCATTCAAGAATGTCCCCCCCCCCCCCTTTATTCTCTCTTTTTCTTATTTTTTTAACGCTTTGTACCCAAGAATGAATCACAAACTTGCTCAAGCTCATACCTAGCGCCACACAGTTGCCAACATGGCTGCTGCAGTTACATCCTCAAGTACTATTTTAATGTAGTACAGCTGTGCTAGGGTGTATTTTTTAAAGGGGCCGTGCAACAATTTTTCAGCATGGTTGGAAAACACTGCCGAACAGCAGTCAAGGATCCAGAGAACATTTATAGCGCAGCACGCAGCTTGCAATTGACAATGAATTCTCAAAGCTGGCTCCGCTCCTTGCTGATCATGACATCACAAACACTATGGCGAAATGGCACTTGCTGGAAATGGGCAGGGTTTACAGCCGGCGACTTCAAGCGCTTATTTTGCATTGAAATTAACCTTTTACAGCCCACTTTTCATGTCTGTACAAGCATAAAAAACCCTTTGCTTCTATTGCAGGAGAGTTTCTTGAAGGGCCAGTTGGTACATGATACTGAGGGGAACAGCGCAATGAACGAGATGGAGAAAAAGAGGTGTCATGTGTTCGTTCTTCCTCCGTCCCGTTTTTTACGCTGTTCCCCTCAGACTCGAACTTCTAGTTTATGCTGAAAACTAGACATTGTTGGGTGACCGTGTCTTGGCCCCATGGACAATAAAGAGCAAAACAATTTTTCACATATTAGTAAAGTACAATTTCACAATCCTGAAAACACTACTCTTATTGTTACATGAGGCTTGGTAAGCGAGAAGACGAATGAAAAGAAAATTCAGGTGGAGATGCCACCTTGAGATACCAGCGCCAAACACCGTGACGTAATAGATTTTGAAGGCATCTACTAGGTCCTATGTAGCTTGTAATCGATAAAAATGAAGTACATTGTCATCTGTGTGTGCCATAGACCTAGCATACAGTGTTTCAGAAAATTTCATCGCGCCAATGTCGCGAAAATACGAAAAGATAAATTTAAAAATTTCTGACATCTCACATAGAATCTCGGCGCGAAATTTAAAAATCAAACTTCAAACTTGATTTTGTCCACTAATAATTAACTCATGATAGTGAAACATATGAAATTAGAGTTCTCAAAGTGCAGTTGGCTAATTTAAACCAAGTCATTGCTTTTCTTCAGCGTCTCTTTAAAAAGGGGTGGTGCCACCAAATTTGTGGCATGCATGTTCTTTGCTGTAAGCGTTTTTTTCAGCTCCAGGAAGCAAGATACACGCACCAAGATTCGTTTATTTTCGCTAAATAATTTAATATTGCTCTACTTTTGTGGCCCATTTTCGGTTTCAGTTTCGCGGCGCCAAGTTGGGCCGTGACGTCGATGCATAGGTGGCTTGGTCACGTGAGCACACAAGGCTGTGACGCACATCGTGTTGTGTTTCGTCTGCTCTCATTCACACGTGCCACACCAAGTGCCAGCAAAACAAATGCGCTGACAGTCGCCATGGCCAGCTGCAGTAGCATTGAGGCAGGGGCAAGGAAAAAGTCAGCCTGAAGGAAACAAAGCGTTTATATTTACAACGTATGTACAGAACGTGGATGAAGAAGCTGCCCAATTCTGGATGCACTGGCCTTTTATAGGCGCCGAGATGCTGAAAGAGGAGAAGCAGCCCCCGCTGTTAGACCTGCGCAGCGTCTCTGACGGACGGCTACATTGTCCCTGAAGGATGTGTCGAGGGTATCTTCGAAAGCACCCAGTGTCCTTGACGGACACACACAGTGTCTCTGCAAGGAACGCCAGCACACTCGTAACAGCACGCATGCGAGTTCTCCCCTTGTTCACAACATGCGCACCCATCCGTTGTACAACACAGCTCTTCAACAAAAGGATCATAGCCCAGTATTTGGCAAAGAACGAAGTCTGTTTGAGCGTTTCTTTGTTGTACGTCTCGGGGGAATTCGTGAAAACTCATTGGGTCATTGAATCTACTCGGCCAGAAGCATAGTCACTACGCGGGTAACCCACCGGATGCCTTCAGCACTCAAGCACGCTGAATCCCTTTGTAGGCTTCGATGCGTAGCACTTTGCCAAGAATTGATCGAAACTCAGTGAGTAATACAGCAACCGATGCTTTGCTGGTACGCTGAGTAAGCTCGTTTCGGAGATGACGGAGGTCACTCACGTCACTACAGATCTGGTGTGACGTCACGACAACTGCGGTTGCTTCTTCTATTCTGAACCACCAGTGTTGTTGCGCAAGCGATGGGCCTAGATCGCGAGAGTGAGCATTCAGCTACACTTTTAGATGTGAATTAAAATATATTCTAGCATTTGCTGTGTCCAACCCTTCATGCGCACAGTTCTTGCATATAGAGGAAACCCACAACAGGCTTGGAATAGCCTCAAAATTTGGTGGCACCACCCCTTTAAAGCAATGGTTTGACTGTATTTGAAGTCCCTTTGCACAGCTGCATGCTAAAGATCTCCAATATACTTCACAGCTAACAGAAAATACAAAGATGCCCACCTTGACATCACAGGCTTCATCCAAGATGGAAGCAGCCGTCAGCATGACTGCACGGTTCGGGTCACAAAGCTGAATCACAAGAAGCTCCATGACCCACTTTCTGAAGTCTAAGAGTTCCAGACGAAGCAGGACCCTGAGGAACTTTGTTGCGTAGAGTCGAGCGTCCTGCAAAGGTGTTCCAAAAACAAAAATGGCAGTAAACTCATCCACTAAGTCAACAATCAGGATGCGCTACAGGTGAATCACATATAAAAAAACCTAAGTGAGCTTACTGCAACAAATTTCGGCATTTAGGCAGTGATTTTATGTGGCACACAGAAATACAGAAATAGTAGCATAAATGCCTTCAAAAACTCAAAATGAAGTATTGTCAAAAGAGATTGGCCCCCCAACATACCAAGAAACTGTGAAGAGGTTCATTTGTAACAGTTACCCTAAATCTAAAGCAACTTAAACAAAAATACTGCAGTGCCTTATTTTTTTGAGCTGGGAGAGCTGTCCAAGATAATTTCCATCAAATCAACAAAACATGTAAAATAGAATGACTGCCTGACCATTGTGGGCATTTTAAATGCAGATAACAATTTAATCACATACTCAAGGCTCACTATCACTAGTACAATGAGGGTGACAATGCGGACTTCATAATTGTATTATTCATACTTGTACGGGTCGAGTGCACAAAAAAACATGGACAAGAGGAATGGACGTACACTCTTCACTAGTACAAAAATGTGCAGGGTGAAGAATACAGTCGATCCCAGATATATCAAACTCGAGTATATTGAATTATTGGCTATATCAAACAGTCAAGAAATTCTCTTAATTTTTCCATGCAAAAGTATGGGACCGGTGTACCCATATGTCGAACTCTCTCACTGCGGGGTATCCGCTATATCGAACGCAGCACCGTGCTGAAAGTGCATTTTTCCTAGCAAATATTGCCCGATTTCCGGCCGCGTTCTAACAAGTTCCGATCCCTTTGAACGCGCATGTAACGAAAAGGTGGTGTTATTCCATCGCACTAATCTGGTTTGTTGCACAGCGCTTGCGAGTTCACCTATATGTTTGATGCGCAATCTGTCGGTATTAACAAGCGGGTATAGTGTTTTTCAGGAAGACCGATTGCCGAGGACACCCAAATGAGAATGCGAAGTAATTGGGCAATCTCGTTGTATTGTTAGAGCACAATGGCATACGAGCCTGAAAGCATGGCCTTTGAGACGTGCAACCTTGCAACATAATTTTGGTGTTGGGTTTTAAAACACACGTCTCGGAGGCTACAATTTTTCCATCTTTTCGCATCAAAGCAGCTGAAAGCAGCGGCTGCCAGCTACAAAGCCACAAGTGACATCGATATTGCCAACATGTTGACCACCATGTCGACGATGAGAACTCGGCTACACTAACTGGGTGAAGGTGGGAACTCTGCTTTATCTCTGTTATACAGTTAAACCTGGATATAACAAAATTGATAATTCCCAAGGAAAATTCGTTATAAAGAGGTTTTCGTTATATGCAGGTTCGGTGGGAAAATTCGGGAAAAAAAAAGCGCAAATTAAACAAAAGAGCGACTGAAAGCAGAGCTAACCCCAAACACTCATTTTACAGTAAAAACTGCGTTTTTATTGTGACAGCAATTATATGGACACTCTCGGCAGGTTCTTGCTGTCGCCGTCATGTTCCGCAACAAGTTCAAATTGATAACATGCCCCCGCGCATTGTAACTTTCATGAGCAAGTCAAAGCACGCGCGAGCGCTGCTGAAGCAGAGATCAAATGAATCGGCCCTTCTCCATTGCCTGGAAAGTACATAGAACATCTCCCGCGTGTTAGCACTGCCGTGGAATGCTCAAACAGAAAGTAAACCACCCGTCTTGAACGAGCATGAAACAATGCAAGGAGGGGGGGAGGGGGGGGGAATCGCTCGAGTAGCAATAATGAACTATGATTTTAAAGGCGGTCACGATCGCTGGCGCGCTTGCTATCTCGGCGGGTATTAGTGCGGTTTCAACACGAAAAGACTGTGTGGAAAGAGGAAACACAATCGTTCCGGTCAAAGTCGAAGGCACACAATTCTCCCCATTGAAGGATAAGTGGGGGGCGCACAAGCATCTAACTCCCCTCTCCCCCTCCGCATTCCGGGGGCAAAGTACCGTGGGAGATAAGCGCCCGTCGGCACATCGTGACAAGATGAGCGCCGAGCGCGGGCAGTTTTTTTTTTCTTCTCGAGTTTCTATATATATATAAGTATGTATACATGTATGGTGAATAAAGGCGGCAATAACCCAGCCAAAACTGCCCATATACATGATTGCTATCGCAATAAAAAAAAAGCAAAGCTGGACGTTGTCGGTAGTCACACCATGCGCACGCAGTGAATCTATGCATGCGTGCACGGCGTCCAAAAAGAAGAGTGAACGACACGGACACAGACACGGTTACCGCGAAAACTATTCGGTAAAGCACCCTGCATATGCAGCGCAGCCCCACATATGTTCTGAATTCCTGGCACTGCCAACGCGCAAAAGTAGTATTTTTTTTTTGTTTGGAGGGGGGGGGGGGGCACACCCGCACATGCGACCGCGACGGTGAGAATGGGGGCAACGCCGGCTCATAAGGTGCAGGCCCCCCTGCCTGCCGCCACAGGTTTGCGCTTCGACAGCAGCGGCGAAGCGGCGGAAGATGCATGCTCGTACCAAAATGCCGAAATGCGGAGCAAAATTCCAAGATTGTCCGTGGAGAAAACTCATATGAAGGTTGTCTCCCGCAGTTACTTTGTTACATAGAGGTCGCAAACACATGTGCTCCTATGGAGCGACGACGGGAAATAGAAAAACTTCATTATATCCAGGAATTTGTTATATGGAGGTTTGTTATAAGCAGGTTTAACTGTAACTCAGCGTTGTCTTTTGCGCCTTCTGAACTTGAGTGCGTGTCGCCTTGTTCCTAATAAATATTAATTCCAGAAATTCATTCGGGAGTTGAACTGATTGTTCACCCGCCCGTAGCGATAAAAATTATGATTAGAGCTTGGAGCGACGTCAAATGAAGCACCGTGAAACTTTCTTTGCGGGCGAGGTGCCTGAGTGAATTTTCCGACTTATCAGCATTTCCAGGCACCATCTCTGACAGTGGTGCAGATAGTGACGTAGCTATTTCTGACTATATTAATGCTGAGATCAAATCCCCGCTGATGGTGCCATGGAAGTGTACCTGCGTGGTTATGAATAAACCAACGTCTTCGCTGCCGCCACTAACCAACCTTTTACCATGCTACAAAGCTTGCATTGGTGTTCTGCATCAATCTGCACTGTTGTGGCCGAAGGACCTGAATTGGTTTATTCGAAAAGCTTCGATGATATTGAGGATGACTGGAACTTGACGGCACGCAACAATCAAGACAAGTTTCCTGACTGTTTTTGTGCGAAATAAAATGCGATAACTTGCGGTTCATACCTTATTCATTATACTGTGAGTGAATTGTTATGTTAGTGCTTTTAACAATTTGCAAAGGCTGAGATGCTTTAATTTAGGCCATAAATAAGCATATTTTGTATTTCGAACTATTTGGCGATCCCTTTTTTGAGTTCAATATATCTGGGATCGAATGTAGTACTACCATGACAATGTCTGAAAAAAGAAAAAAATTTACAGAATCTCCCCCTAAAGGGAACCACTAGGCGATATGAAGCAGCATTGGGGATGCATACCATGTTTCTGTTTACATTCACGTTAGTGTGTGCTGTTTGTATTTAGTGTTGGTGTTATCATTACATTGCATTTGAGCACTGTTGAGGAAGTCTCGCTTGAATCGTGCGGTTGCTCAGTCAGTTCACAGCCGCTGCAGTTTCTTCGAAAGGCTTGCCAACCTCACTGTAGACTCGCGTTGCCTTTCTGTAACGGAAGCGGTAGTTTGATGCCAACACTTGGCTTCAGCATCGGCGTTCCAGACCTCGGAGTTTACATGATTGCTATCGCAATAAAAAAAAAGCAAAGCTGGACGTTGTCGGTAGTCACACCATGCGCACGCAGTGAATCTATGCATGCGTGCACGGCGTCCAAAAAGAAGAGTGAACGACACGGACACAGACACGGTTACCGCGAAAACTATTCGGTAAAGCACCCTGCATATGCAGCACAGCCCCACATATGTTCTGAATTCCTGGCACTGCCTACGCGCAAAAGTAGTTTTTTTTTTTTTGTTTGGAGGGGGGGGGGGGGGGCACACCCGCACATGCGACCGCGACGGTGAGAACGGGGGCAACGCTGGCTCATAAGGTGCAGGCCCGCCTGCCTGCCGCCACCGCTTTGCGCTTCGGCAGCAGCGGGGAAGCGGCGGAAGATGCATGCTCGTACCAAAATGCCGAAATGCGGAGCAAAATTCCAAGATTGTCCATGGAGAAAACTCATTATATTAAGGTTGTCTCCTGCAGTTACTTTGTTAGATAGAGGTCAGAAACACATGTGCTCCTATGGAGCGCCGACGGGGAACAGAAAAACTTCATTATATTCAGGAATTTGTTATATGGAGGTTCGTTATAAGCAGGTTTAACTGTAACTCAGCGTTGTCTTTTGTGCCTTCTGAACTTGAGTGCGTGTTGCCTTGTTTCTAATAAATATTAATTCGGGAAACTCATTCGGGAGTTCAACTGAATGTTGACCCGCACGTAGTGATAAAAATTGTGATTCAAGCTTGGAGCGACATCAAGTGAAGCACCGTGAAACTTTCTTTGTGGGCGAGGTGCCCGAGTGAATTTTCCGACTTATCAGCGTTTCCAGGCACCATCTCAGACAGTGGTGCAGATAGTGACGTAGCTGTTTCCGACTATATTAATGCTGAGATCAAATCCTTGCTGATGGTGCCATGGAAGTGTACCTGCGTGGTTATGAATATACCAACGTCTTCGCTGCCGCCACTAACCAACCTTTTACCATGCTACAAAGCTTGCATTGGCGTTCTGCATCAATCTACACTGTTGTGGCCGAAGGAGCTGAATTGGTTTACTTGAAAAGCTTTGATGATATTGAGGATGACTGGAACTTGACGGCACGTAAGAATCAAGACAAGTTTCCCGACTGTTTTTGTGCGAAATAAAATGCGATAACTTGCCGTTCACACCTTATTCATTATACTGTTAGTGAATTATTATGTTAGTGCTTTTAACAATTCGCAAAGGCTGAGATGCTGTAATTTAGGCCTTAAATAAGCATATTTTGTATTTCGAACTATCTGGCGATCCCTTTTTAGAGTTCAATATATCTGGGATCGAATATAGTACTACAGTCGAACCTCGATACATCGAACGGCGCGGCGATCGCGAAATAGTTTGATATATCCAGAATTCGTTTTAAAAAGTCACGAAAAAAATGCGTCAACAGCTTGCTGAAAACGACCAACGAACCGTGCAAGCGTGGTGCAGTAAATACTCACTTGAAGATTCAAACATAGTATTTATTGTGTTGGTTTAAAATATTGAAAAAGAGTAGCCTGCTTTTTGTTGGCCATGGCGTGTTTGACGACTGCGTCCTCAATATAGTCCAGGCGATACATAAGTGATAGGCCGGTGCCTTCAATCGCGCCGGCGCACAAGGGCCAAGGCAGTTATGACCTCAGCTGATGTCAGGAGCGGGGCACCATCAGTGCTTGCAGGATCCACCTCGGCAGAGTCTTCATTTGGCTGCTCAGCAGTAGCTTCGGCGACAATCTCCACATCCGTGAGCTCCGCCGTTATGAGCTTCGGCGTTCGGAGTTAGGCCTGTCGCGCACCACAGCGCGCGACAGGCCCAACTCCGAACAGTGCGCGACAGGTCTAACTCCAAACGCACGAACACTGCAAGCACAACGACCGATGCCTGCTGATGCTACGGGGGAGGAGCTTGCAACAAGTGCGCAGTGTGCCGTTGACACCATAGAGACTGCAACTACTGCAAGCTGCGGCGTGAGTCCGGGTGTAAAGCGCGCACTTGGGGCGCCCATGCCGGCTCGCCTGACTGCTTTCTCTTTCCCAGCGGCAGCGCGGGCCGCGTCCGAGACAGTCGTCTGTGTCCTTTCCCTCCTATACTTTCCTCCTCAATCTTTACCTCCCACTCCCCTTTCCCCGCGCGAAGCCGTGTTGGTGCCTTCGCATTGAAAGACAACAACAGCTTCGCGCTTTTCTTTTCACTTTCCTCATTCAAGAACCTCTACCGCAAGGCTGCGGCGCGCGTACGCCGCTACGTTAAAGTGGCGCTCTCGGCGCCATCGATGTGTGCAGCATTCGTAAACGCCCGCCGCTCTACCGCTACTTTCGAGAGTTGCGGGAAAGCTCGCCGCCTGTCAATGGAGCGCGGGCGGTTTGGGGTGGCTGAGTTCGATATATGTATCCATTATATGTCAAACTTTGTTCGAAATAAAAAATCAATAATGCATGCGATTTCCCACGTGATATAGGAACTGTTCGATATAGGCAATAATTCGATACATCCATGTTCGATATATTGAGGTTTGACTGTACCATGACAATGTCTGAAAAAAGAAAAAATTTACAGTATCTCCCCCTGAAGGGAACCACTACGGGATGCGAAGCGACATTGTGGGTGCATACCATGTTTCTGTTTACATTCACGTTAGTGTGTGCTGTTTGTATTTAGTGTTGGTGTTGTCATTACATTGCATTTGAGCACTGTTGAGGAAGTCTCGCTTCAATCGTGCGGTTGCTCAGTCAGTTCACAGCACTGGACGAGGCTTGGCAACCTCACTGTAGACTCCCGTTGCCTTTCTGTAACGGAAGCGGTAGTTCGATGCCGACACTTGGCTTCGGCATCGGCGTTCCAGACCTCGGGGTTTGCAGGTCTTCGAAAGGCTTGCCGAGCTCACTGTAGACTCGCGTTGCCTTTTTGTAACGGAAGCGGTAGTTCGATGCCGGCTTCGGCATCGGCGTTCCAGACGTCGAGGTTTGCAGGTCGACGCCGACACTTGGCTTGAACTTCCCTGGCCCAAAGTTCCGGATCACCTTGCCTGTGCAGGTGTTTGCATTCGGCATCGCGAACGCTGTGCTACTGCTGATCTGCGACGATCTCGATCTCGCCAGAGGTTGGAGTGCTGCTGCAACTGGTGCTGACATCTAATCTGAACTCATCTGAATGGAAGCGAAGCAAGAATGACGGAAGCTGACGAAGCGCACCCACTTATATGAAATGGGGGAAGAAAAGCAGAGAGTGAGTTTACAGGATGCAGCGTGGGCGAAGAAGAGAAAAGAAGGCGACCGAACACCTGCAAGGAGGAGAGGGGGAGAGAGAGAAGGCATATGCGCAATGGCGTGCACACGCCATCGGATTAAGCTCACTCATAAAAAGCATCAAAAAATGTATTTTTGGTTCTCTCAAAGATAAATTCATAAAGAGTCAAAGACAGCACACCTCGCATTTTGTTGTCAACGCTGTGGACAGCAGGGACCTCGCAAAGCCCGGCTTGGTGTAGTCCATGGATGCCAGTGCCAGCTTTAGGTACAGGTCGTGGCCTTCCAGTGTGACCAGCGTGACAATGTGCTGGTACACACCGAGCCTCTCCAGAAGCCGCGAACCCTTGCTGGAACTACCAAGCCGGCCAACAAAGAGGAAGTAGGCGTGCGAGACCATCGCCAGCATCCTGGATGGTCCCAGGAGCGCCGACATGGCAGCCCCAGGAAGCTGTGCTTCGTGAAGGCAGTTGCAGAGGTCGATCAAAAAGTCCTCGATGAACTCAGTTGCACGACTTCGTCGGCGTCGAGCAGAAACTCGAACAGCTGGCACCCGACGGTGACGACCTGGTTTGCGCACTCCCGCTTCGTCTCCATCAGCGAGAACTGGCGGCTGCTCGGCTTGTAGAAAAGGACGAGGCGGCGGATGAAAGTCTTGTGCGTATTCTCGTTGAGCGCACGCAGTGATTCGCTGGGCCACTTGAGCAACGAGCTCACGAGGTGCCAGTCCCAGGAGTTGTACTCGCGCACGAGCACCTGGGAGTCGCGGATGCTCTGCAGGGCGCTCTCGTCGGTCTCCTTGCGGAGGCAGGCACTGAGGCGCACCCTGCCTGCCGCCTCACAGAAGTCCTGGTTGGCACTGCGGTGCTTTGTCGGGCTGCAGAACTGCAGAAGCTGATCTAGGAAAAGACTGCTTGGTGTCGTGCTCTTTCGCCGCAGAGCATGAAGGCGTGATAGACGGGCCACAGCAGTGCTTGCACGGCTGCAAAGAACAAATTTTTGAAGTGAAAACTTTAAACGCCTCATCGATTGCAAAATGTCGATGCCCCATGGTGGTAGGATGAGTAATGCAAAAAATCATCATCATGTGATGACATCACCATATAACGTCACGATAATGTCAAATATTGCCAGATTATGTCTTTTTGATGTCATTATGACATCACAGGACGACGTCAACACATGACATCACGGCTGGGTCATAGGTGGTCCCATTACTGCAGCAATAAAAACACAAATAGGCGAAGAAACCTTTTGCAAGGTGGCATGGCAGGATAAGAACACCAACTGAGAAGAAAAATGTAATAGCATACGCCTTCAAGTCACCTTTTAAGTGATGCATAAGGGACCCTATGAGATTTTTCTACATTTCTCCACTTCATTTTTCTCCAACCAAACTGTTTAAGGCTACAGTCAAACCTGATAACAACAAACTTAGAACATATCTTTGCAGAGAGAAATTGGTATCCTTGCATTTGCGCTCGATGCCTTATGGAAGATTAAAAAAAAGAAAAAAAAACTGCCAAAGGGAATAAATTTTAGCTTGGTTCACCAACTTTCCTCTATGCTCATGGACTAAAGCACATGAAAACCTACCAGCTATGCCCTTCTAGAAAGTAACTATAAAAAAAAAAAGAAAACATGAACACTGCAATTACGCCCTCCCATACTAGTGCTCAAGTTCTCGCTTGAGCAGAGGAAGAACTAAAGCACTGATACCAGGCACAGTGGACTGAAGAGGGAATAGTAAGGCTAATGATGACACAGGCAAGAGGTGTTACCACAGAGGTGGGTACACCCATTGTCAGTAACAATGTATGTACACTGCAGCTGCATACAGAATCACGGGATTACAATGCTTTCAGGATGGTAGCAGATTAGTGGAGAGCCTAATTTGTTGAAAAGTCCTATTTAGCACAGTTGTACTGGCTGCAATGGTGCGACACCTGATACAAGCTCTCAAGAGAGAGTGAATCCTATTTAGCGCAGTTGTACTGGCTGCAATGGTGCGACACCTGATACAAGCTCTCAAGAGAGAGTGGATGATAAGAAAGAGCAGCTGTGTCTCACATGCGCTTCTCCTGAGGCGATCCGAAAGCTGCTGCTTGTGACATCAACGTTGGCAGGCAGTGGCAATGCCGACTAGCTTCTGAGGGCAGGTAGACACTCGCCTGCCAATGATTTAAGAATAAAAACAGAGAAATATTCATTACAGACTGAAATGGGCCACTCAGGCTTCTTACGAAACACTGAACATACTGCAGACTCATTTTAATGTACATACAGAAAAATGTCGTGTACAGACAGCCTCGGCAATAGCATGGGTCATAAATGTCCGTGTTTTTAAAATGAGTACAAGATCTAGGCCCTGACATCACTTGGCAGTCAGTGAGGCTCTACAGCCTGTCTCGATGTGCATGTGCGGGTGAAGCCACACCAGTTGTAGATACTCCACGGAGCACATGCAACCTCGTGGCGACACTATCACTCCCTGTAAAGTCGTTTTTGCTACATGGAATACGCATCGGGTGGATTAGTCATACATAGTGTAGCTGCCGTTGTGACAGATGGCACTGTGTTTGCACAGTGGTGCCAGCAGCGCCATTTGTCGGAAGTGTGGTTATGCATGTCTACGTGGTGAGCACTCTGTCTTTTTTGGAGTTTGCCATGGTTGGTGACAGTCTGGTTTCGGATGGGTACATGGGCACAATACCAAAGTTAGTTTTCTGCAGGCCCTTGTGGTGAGTCGGACGTCAGCAATGCTGCACTGGCCGTACATTTCAGGAGTTATGTTGTTTCTAGTTATGTTGCATGTGTTTTCTTTTAACGGACATTGTATTAGCCTCTTTGTCATGTTACCAGTTATGTATTAGATTCAGCTGGTGAGTTGACCATTGTAAAAGCAGCCAATAAAATGCCTGTAAGTTCGTTTGCTCGGCGGTGTGAACTGTGTCCGTGTGTTTTGAAAGCAGCATCTAATCTTCTGACCCCACAACATAAATGTGGTGTGCGCGTGCCCTTGAAGTGCCAATCTCATAAAAGGAATGGCAAGTGGCCTACTGTTTCAAATTTCAACTGTTTCTGCCCCACACAAGAGTTGCATAACTTACACAGATTATCACTACCAATTTCTCGACATGCCACACTCATTTGCAAGAAAGCCCATCATAAAGGACCCTTTTGATAACTGCTTTAATCAACAGCTTGAAGGGACACTTAAAAAAGAGATTTTTCTCACACTAGAAAATTACTCTTTTACAATTCCTAAAATTGCCATGCTTGCCTCAAGAAAACGCTTGATAAGCGAGAAAATTCACAAAAGAATAATGTGGATGGTGACCCCACCAAGAAACTCCTACACAAAATGTCATGATGTCATAAACTTTGATGGCATCTTCTACACCTATGTGGTTTCAAATAGGCGAAAATTAAGTAGTACACAGTCTCTTGAAGAATCTAGAGACTTAAAATATGAAGTTTCAGGAAATTTAACCAAGACAATGTCCAAAAATATGCTTTAAAATCCCCGATATCCTGGGTGATTTCAGCAGAAACTTTCAAAATGGGACTTTGGCCTTGATTTCCTCTTCTATTAATAAATTGATGGAGAAATTAAAAACATAACAGTTCTCAGAATACAAATTATCAATCGAAACCAATTTACTGCTTTCCGCAAGTGTCTCTTTTCAACTGAAACCATCGAGGTGGCAGTTGGAAGTAATCAGAGGGTTTTCCAAGTAACCATTGTATAGCCCTAACTACTGCCTTTAGCATTGACAAATTACAGCAAACGTAGTCTTCAGCTACAGGTAGCTCATTGAGAAAACTATGCAAAGAAAAAAAAGAACACTTTTCATTAACCTTTCATTGCTATACTGGTTTACACACGATGTTAAGTAGTACAGCAATGAGATAGCCTGCTGTTATAATACCACGCATTTTAGAAGAAAAAAAAAAAATTGGTACCTACCATGTACAGCAGTTCTGCCAGCAGTATTGTTGCTTGAATAGCCAATGCATCTTCGCTTGACACAATCACTTCCACTAGTGCCTACATATTTGTCGGTTCAAAATAAAAATAAATAACACTTTATCCAGTTTTTAAAACTAAGCAGTAAGTTTAATACATACAAATACACCCATGAGTAGTGTAATTATTGTTTCCTCTTTGCATTATACATATTTCGAAATGACAGAATTTACAGGTCTATACAGGTCTATACAAACATCTGTTAGGACAGATGTACTTACAAAGCAGAATCCTTCATCTTCAGCCTGAAAGTCATTTACAATGCTAATAAATAATATGCATGAAATTGTATGTTACGCTGCAACATTAACACTCTTTATACAGTTGAACAACCACTTTACGAGAGGCATGCACTGGGTAGCAATTCTCGTCGTTTATATGAGGTGTCTCTTGCAAGCAGGATACTACGGATGCACTTTCTTACCAACCCTAAATTTTAAGGTGGGCACATTGATGTCTCTTATACCCATTTGTCTGTTACATCAGTATCTCTTATAGAGGTGTTCAGCTGTAAAGACACTAAAGATAAAAATGAGTTGGGCTTTATCAGCATACAAAGTTGTGCTTCTACAAAGGAAGCCCCTAATACCACGAGAGCACACTGATGCTACAACTGGAAATTCCCACACCTGCTCACAGCTTTGTTAGACATAGCATGCTTTGGGATCAATTTGTTACTACGATGTACTCTTGGTGCAATGGACTGTGATAAACCAGCAAAACGGGTCCATTTTATCCAAAGTCCAAAATATCCAAACTGCACTGTGTTCCTCGTGTGTGTGCACGTGTGCATGTGTGTTGTTATCAGCTACAGTGTATTTACCAGAAGGCTTGAATAATAAGATTTGAGAATTTTAGTAGTCCCATATAAGCCCAAATAGGAGAAAATACCAGGAACTCTGTGATGTCAAGTAATCCCACTGTGGTTCCCCACATTAAAGTATAAAAACCTAAATTTAACCTCGACTTTTTTCATACAGCGATGAACATTACACAGACCATAAAAGATTATAGATGACTATCAAACTTCCTTAGAAAGAATGAATTCGCAAGTAGAATAGGCTGAACATACGAATAGCACAACTTGGAATTAGTTACAGCGTAACTATGGAAGCAAAAAAAAAAAAAACAAGAATAGAAAAAGTGGAAAATGTTTGAAGTTTATAGAACTTGTTCTAGGAATCGAGATTCCCCCATATGACGGCCACTTCCCGGCACAATGTTTGTACAAACAAAATCACACTTGTCCAATGCACCCAGCCGGTCACTTCAGCTGCCGTTTTCAGCTGAAATATGAAAAGACCTGCCCCACAATAATAGGTAACATACTGATACTGTACGCCAGGCCCTAGGGGTACAATTCAAGTTTTGAAGGAAGCTTGTAACTAGCGTGAGGTGGCAGCTGTGAACAACATTTGCGTGCCCATCCATGCACTCCACCGCTCTCAGCAAGTGTGATTCCATTTGTACACATGAGCTAAGCACAGTTGTGCCATGAGAATAGCCATGTTCTGACACCAGAAGTCAATACGACACACACCAATCAACTAGTAACACCCTTGCTCACCTCCAAGATTCCAGCCTGCACAAACGCTAGTAAAAGAAGAGCCAAGTAGTTCCCCACTAGGTTCGACCTGAAAACAGTAATATAAAACAGAGATAAATCACATGACTTGACATAGACAAGTGAAGCAAAAGTAGAAAGTTATAACAAAGACAGTAGTGTGCTTCACACTTGTACATGCATCATTTCTTGAAATTTTGATACAATTTCACAATGCCTCGAGAGAAAAAGTGGGAGAAGACTATGAATAAACGGCTTACTACAGTTGCCAATGAAAGCAGAAAAATACTTTTGCAAGCTGAAGTTTCATATCATGCAGCAAGCATGGCAAGGACCTATAACTATATTAGCAATTAAATCAAACCAAAAACAAAAATCCTCGAGTGTCACCTGTGCTTTGACGGCGGTGGTAAAAGGTCACAGGCCTCAGCAACCACGAAGCCTTCATATAGTTTCCATGACTCCCGAATTGCCGTACGATCTGCAGATGGAACGCAAGTTTCTCAACAGCATTGTAACAGAACATGTGGCACATGCTATAAGCAATATTTGGCATATCTTCTTTTTCATCTGACAGCACCTCCTTCACTGGCCTCTACATAGATACTTTGCTCTTAAACACTAAAGGAACTTCACAAAAAAATAAAGCAAGAATTATAGGGTCCTTGCAATACTTTTGCCAGTACTAATCATCAAATGGCTTCATTGAAAAAGCTCTTTGCCTATTTGACTGCTGCAAAAATGTTTAGAATCTATTAGGTAGGAGCAAAGTTACAGGAATTCGCCGCACACATTCTCTCTCATTTTGTGCCAGCAGGCACGCTCAAAGCTGCGCAGGGAATAGGATGACAAGGGTGCAAGGAGATGCATTCCTTTATCAGTGCGCGTCATGACTTGGAGCACTCTCCTTTTAATTTTTCTTTGCACTTAAACACTTTCAGAGTGACCATGAGTGTGGGCTCATAGTGGCATCTCGTGGCGGCCCAGTAACTGGACAGGTGACAGTGCTCAAATCAGCCAATGGCCGTGGACCTTGGGCATATGGCATCATTTGTAGAGAGATGAGGGAGCAATTTCTGGCTAAATTTGAGAATTAACTGCTAATTCCAGGCCATGTGTGGTGCCATAATGTTTAGCTCGTGCATTCCCCAAATCTTTGATTTACCGATCCGCAGCGTTTTCTGAACATGTGAAGCCCCTTTAAGAGGGGGGCACTGGGTCTTAGAAGGCCAAAAATCGCAAGAAAATTGACTTTTGAAGCTGACATTTTCGAAATCTGCGCCTATTTTCGCACTTATCAGAGAAGTTTCTAGCTTCTCGGGTCATTATTTCTGGCGCAAAATCGATTTATGACAGCCCTGTGAGATGAATGTGAGCGCAAATTGATGCTAAAATCGCGCTTTTTCCGCGCCAAACTGTTGCCGTTACACACGAGCTATCGTGTTCATCTTGGTCTCGTTTGGAAGGGTCGTTCTTCATCTTCAACTTCCCGTCACCACTGGCTCACCTTGCTCATTGGTTTTTTAGCAAAAACGCGTCATCGAGAATCACTAGCGCGTGATTCAATTGGCTGCTTGGGGCACGAGACCAAATTTAGGCATCTGATTGGCCAAGGGGCGCTTTCGGCGTCTGCTACACCATCGTGACGCGCACGAACATGCGCCATTTTGTCAAGGTGCTACTGACTGCTTGCGGGGCAGTAAAGAAGTTCCGTGCTACAGTAATTTGTGAAGCAGATGTGGCGGTGGTTTGTTCACTGTGAAGTTCAGAAAGATCACCGCTATGGCTCAGGACAACGAGGATAACGAACTCAACGCGATCAACGGCGGTCGCCGAGTCACCAGTGTAGGCCTAACTCATGTACGAGCCCGTTGGTTGCCGACAACATTACTGAGAACGGCTGTGTTTTGCAGCCTCATCAGTTAGAGGACGGCAAGTAAAAAGCAGAAGTGAAGCTACCAGAGATATCAATCTTTGTAGTGACGGAACGGAAGTGCAGTCTTATAGCTAAACCCGCCGATCTTGTGGTTCCCCCCGCCTGATGAAAGGACCTTGAATTGCGCGACGGTTTGTCAGAGTGCAGTACGCCGCGCGTCGACCAACAACAAAAAGTCAATCCGTTCCCAGTGAACATGCTCGCGGCCCTCGCAATCGAGGCTACTGGCAACAGGTAGACTGCTTTTAACGACGTGCTCACAATGTTGTCGCGATCTTCTCTTACGTGAAAAGGAAACTAACACCTCGGCACTCGTGTAGCCTCGAAATTGATGAGCGAGGGAGCAACTTTGGTTCGGGGCACTTACGGGTAACTTATTATGGACAAGCCAGAAAACATCTCCGCGTTATTCGACGAATCGTGGATGACGCACGCACATTTGTCGCATATCGCTGTCAGTACAGTCACCGAACTGATAAGCGGCCTCGCAGCAGACGAGCACACGGCGACAACTTGCTACAGGACTAGAAGAAACGACACGCTCGTACAAACCATCAGTCCTATTACATTCCCGGTGCATATTAACTGACTAAAAGTATGTGTGCCATGATATTTTTTCCTCAGAACAGCGAAATTAAGTTTTAACAGCATTATTCTCGAAGCACAGATTTTGAGCACTTTCTTTTGCTTGTTCGGTAAAAGTTGACCTAAGACAGATAGAGCTGTAATTGCTTTTGCACAATGTAGCTAAATGTGTACAAAAAACAATTCTGGGAGCCTATTTTTAATGGGCAGCTTCATTTATTTTATTTTAATATAAAAAATTCTGTATTTTGTTACATGCAATGAACTTTACTGTGCTGTAATTCGAGAAGTACTCGTTCAATTTCTGATCAGCTTGCAGCATTGCACTCCTTAGGCTTTCTAGCATTCATTTATATGCCAATGGCTAAGTAATTATAAGTGCATACATTTTTACAGTTAAAAATGTTGGAATTCTTTGTTTTCTTCATTTTCTCAAAATGGCAATTTTGTACACCCTGCATGAAAATTACTGCAATATATCTGAAACTATTACAGATAGCAGGAGGAGGACGAAACTTTATTCAGAAAAAAAAAAAATTGAAATGCAGGCAGTTTGGTCGGGCCCTCAGTCCAGGGCTCCGCTGGCACGAGCGGCTTGCTGGACCTGGTCAAGCAAAGCTATTTGGCTCTGCTTGTCCTCGTCCGCAAGCCATGCCTCCCACTGCCTGTGAAACATGTGTGGTTGCTTCGTGATGTGTGGGCTGTCGATGTGTGTGGGCCTCTGGGTGCACTCCCATGTTATGTGGCTGAGTGTTGGTACTTGTGAACACCACGGACAGGTGTCTTTATATCTTGCGGGATATATTCTACTTAGATGGTACAAATTGGGAAAGCTATTGGTTTGTATGCGTCTCCAATCCCTGCTTTGCTGGCTATCCAAGAATATTTTATTTTGCAGCATGAAGCTATATGTTTGGAGCACACAACATAGGAAGCAGATTTTGATTTCTCTTGATGGAAGTTTTTCAAACTAGTCTTTTGTGTGACCACACAATGGCCACATTCAGGGCTGTGAAGTTTGGTGTACTGTAAAGTAAGAAATAATGACCCATTCAAAAAAGTGCTTCTTATGTTGCATGTCTTATGCTTTCTACTGTCAATCCCTATGTTATTTATAAATTTTTAACAGGTGGTTATTTTTCTATTATGGTAAGAACAATGGAAATTGTTATCTTGATTAATCAATTAACCAAGAAGCTACAGAAAAAATAACTACATTTTTAGAACCCAGAGAACAAACTAAGTAAGCATGCCAACTTCTGTCACACTTGGTTCAAAAATAAATGAGAGAGCCCCAAGAACCATGTCCCCCCTTATTATGTATCGTTTAGACTTGTGCAAATAGTAAATTTTAGATTCTATGCCATTCGAAGTGAATAATAATTTTGGGAGAATAATTTTCAATCGCATCTGAATACTATACTTCAGAAATTATTTTTTAAAAATCCAGCAGATCCCACATACCTTGAGAATCGATGTTATGTGAAGTGTACAAATGGAAAGTGACCGTCTTGTAATAACGTGTTGTAAACATGTTATTAAATGACGCTAAATATATGTACAAATGTTGCACACAAACATATGATGAAGAGCCACAGATGTTTATATAACCAGTTGTTTACACTTGCACAACGATGCGAACAGTTCACGAGTATTAGCAACACCAGAAGTGATAGGCTAATATGAAGCGCTGGTGCTCGCGAGAACGGTCGCCCTGGACACTGGCACATTAATCAGATTCAGCGAATGGCACCTAACTGCAATTGTCGTTAACCCGACGTGACCACTGTATCATATGAGTACATATGTAATGTTAATAGAATTAGATAGCCAGCCCTGTAACCACGGTTGATGTTTCACAAACATAGCGTCTATTTGTAAAGTAGTTCCGAGACTTGGCGTGGCTCTATGATAGAATACTTTATTGCCACGCAGAATTCTGGGGTTCGATTCCTGCTGAGACCCTGACATTTATTTTTTGTATTCGTTGGATCAACGCTGTCGATTTTAGCTTTTTCTTATCGCTCACGCGTTAAAATTACCTGTCTTCTCGCAGTTCCTGGGTAAATATTAGGTGTCAAACACCTGTGGCACATACCTACAAACCAGTGGCACATACCCACCCACGGGTATGTGTCACTGTCTGGCAAAAAGTGTTTGACCAACGCCTCCTTTATTTATTTCAATGCCAGTGCAAACCTGCACTTATCAACGTGAGCTGTCAGTCCGCTTTAGTTCAGGGAGTGGTCGTGATGCGACGCTGCATAAGGGGTCACTGCTGCTTGCGCCACAAGTGCTTCTGAACGCTTTCCCCCGGAAGATGTAATAGACGTGTTTCGCACTACAATAGCGTACGTCTGTCAAATTTGTTTCTTCGTGCCCCTTTTTTTGTGGCTTGAAGCAACGCTGCCAACGCATCACGGAGCAGCGCATTTAGAAGCCTTTCAGTGATGCTTCCCCATTGGTTGCCCGCATAGCACCACGAACTGCGACACGCTAACTCAAAACACCTCATCTTTTACAGAGCCAGCATGACCACTAAGATAGTGAACACGAGGAATGCAAGATGCCGCCACCCAAATCTATACACAACTAAACGAAAAAATTACGGCATATTCACGGGGTGAATGATGATGAATGGGCGAAGCTCCGGAGGGATTCATCGGTAAACTGTGAATCTTCCGTGTAATTCGCCCAGTCGATCATCATGTAAAGACGTGAGAAACGCTGTGTGTGTATATACACAAATCAACTTTTATTTGTTCTTAGACGATGGATGGCTTGCGATGTCCCTTCATTATGACGGCTTTATGGTCTGTGAAATGAAGGGAGAGCGGTTCCTGTATGGGTTGCAGTGGGCAATTTGCAAATACTAGGTCTATGCATGTTCCTCGGATCGTGGTAGGTTTCATATGGTCAAACGCTATACGTCTGAGTGCACATCTAGAAGCCATATGTTG